CATCTTAGTTGTTAGTCATAGGTTATCTTTTTATGATCACAAGGCTCTTATTTTTGGTGCCAGTGGTGATGTGAAGTTGCCTGTTTTGGGTGCAAAGCAAACTTCACTAATGGGATTTGCCTTCCATAGTGAATTGGTCTCCATCTCCATGGACAAAGACTTGCATGCCTCTGGTACTTGAGTGCCTTGATAAGCCTTGCATACATACCCCACAAAATTCTTGAAATCCTGCATTGAAAGAGAGGATGAAGTTATCTGCTTCGAAATTGATGCCTAATGATCAAATTAACTTTAAAATTTGTCACCTTCTGCAATTTTATCCAAGCTTTTTTTTTTTTTTTTTTTTTTTTTTTTTTTTTTTTTTTTGTTTTTTTTTTTTTTTTTTTTTTTTTTTTTTTTTTGGCAATTAAACCCTATTAAGCAAACTTATATACAATTTCATCTGAAGCATGATTGGGGCAGCTAAGTAAGGCTCTTTTTCTTTTCCAAATTGGTATCCAAACTTGCTTTATAAAATTGAAAATGATGGATCAAGCACTCACTTAACCCACTTGAATTAACTTTAGGTTGAGCTATTGAGGAAAATTACACTCTTAAATATTAAATTTCGATAGCTTATTGTAAAACGAATTCGGGATGGATTAGATAAACCTGCAAGATCCACAATTTTAATTCTTTAAGCTACCGTTCTTGCTTCAAATATATTTGTCAAACAATCCCAGCTAAATTGAATTCAATTGCACAGAAAGGAAAAACATGGAGTTAAATTGCGAATAATCTGTAAAATTGATCATTAGGCTAAAATTAATAACTATGGACTAACCTCTTGGAGAGGTTGATTATTTACAACAACCCATGGTACAAATCTATGTTGTGGATTAAGCTGGGCAGTCTCAGCAGCAAATTGTTGCTCAAGCTGCAAGTAATTAACTGAGAAAATTGTATACTACTGTATTAAAAGGAAATAAAAGGAATTGAGCTGAATCTAAGAATGCAAGGAAACTGACCACATTGCCATATCCACTTGTGTAGCAATCAATGGGTTCCTTCCCAAGCCCAGCCATTTCAAAGCAATTAACCCACTCATTGAGTTTATTCTCTAAGGAAAGACGTTCTATGCAGTGTATAAGTCTGAAATGCGTCTCCTGTCATATCAAGAAATAATTTTTTTTGTTTTTTTAAATTAGCTACTATGAGTCTCTAGATCAATATTTATTGCTCGGACTAGTTTTAGCAATAAGAAAATTAGTGGGTTAAGGACTACTAAAATTGATAAACAAAAAAACAGAAATGTAGAAAGAAAGATTACCACATCAGGATAGATGGTTATGGCGCAAGCTTCAATGGCATTCAGGAAGCATTCATTTGGTCCATGCTGTTGTATGCAATAATTAAAAGAAAAGTAAAACCCAGGGAGTGAGAAGAGAACTAACTATTCATAGTAATAATAATAAAAGAATAGCCATTTTTGACAGGTGAATTGATAACTAGGATCTTGGGAGAGGAGCTGTCAGTGTAAGTTAGTCATGGTTTTGTTCAAAAAATTTAAAGGACATTATGGGGTCCGAGGAGGATGCCCTCAAACTCATAAAAATGGACCCTCCAAGTCCAAGTTGCATTAATTCCTCTTTAATCATTGTCTTTGTCTTATTTACTATAACTAGCAATACAACAACTTTAAAATTATAGTTCAAACAGATAAGATTCATTTTTAACAATTCACTTCTTGATTTCATTTTTCTGGTAATTCTGGTAAAAAATTAAAAGAATAATATTTTCTTTGTTTCCTTGACTTGATTATGACTTATGATATACTTAATTGCAAATTTTCAATCTTGTTTTTTACTACTAAGTTTATGTTTTTAAGAAACCACCTATAACCCAACAAATGTGACTTACGACTCAATTATGGGATATCCAGATTAAAGTCCAGTGTACTTTAACTATTAGATCAAACTATCTTGAAAATTTTTTAATTATTGCTTGAAGTTCGATTTAATTAAAATTGAACTTTTGAATCGATTTTTAGTGAGAATTTTTAACTAAAAAACAAACTTGACTAATTTTTTCACTGGGATAAGAAGTATTGATTAAATCATTCAATGAAAATTGGTTTTTGTTCTTATCTACCTCTCTTGTGCCTTGACCAACTAATAAATGAGTTAAATTGATTTTGGTCGAAATTTCCTTCTAATATATCAATTTTACATAATTTTTAATCATAAATAAATTCAAAGAGCAAATTAAACATTATTTCTAAATCATAAATCAACAAAACTAGCTAAATTAATTTTTGTACGAGATTCAAGAAGATTGCAGAGAAGACAGTTGATAATGTAATATATATATATATATATATAGAGAGAGAGAGAGAGAGATTAATATATATAAACCTGGCAAACGAAGGTAGCATCGGATTGCACAAAAGCATTGCCCCAAGGAATCAACCTGAGATTAACAATGGAGATAAGTCCTTCATCAAACACCTTCACCAAATGATTGACTATGAAATCTGCACAATAAGGGCACAGAGTTTCGTAGTACAAAGACAGGGTCACAGCATTTTCACTGCTAATTGAAGCTGAAGGAGATGCGAAATAATTAGTAAGAAGAAGAAAGAAAACGAATATTAACGGCGACGACGGAATTAGAGAAGCCATTTTCAATCTTCTTTAAAGTAGAATGAATGCTGTGTTTGATTCTATTTATTGATTTTTTGAGATGAGCAAAGATAAGCTGCTTCGTTACGCTCTATCTTACAGTGGGCCTCTCTCAACGTGCTCTTTGATTTTGCTTTTTCAACTTTTTCTTTCTTTTTCTTACTTGTTCTTAGTGACGACTAAAGAATCTTATTTACATTAAATTGGATATGGCCAATGAAGAAAGTGGAATCTATTTGGGATATTGCTTTATAGAAAAGAAAAATGGTGGACCAGTTTATTTTGCATTGACCTATCCCTAAATAAAGAAAAAACCGAAATTGGATCTAAATCAAATATTTTTAGTTTTCTATATTAGTTTTATAAAAGCACAGATAAGTTTAATTTTAAAATTCTATTTCATAAAAATATCTATGAGTTTAAACTTAAGAGCTCAGATTCAAGTTTGAAAAACCAAACTCGAGCTCAGTTTATTTATAATTTATAATTTTAAAAAGAAAAATTTACCCTTTTTAAACTCTGATTTGTATGTTAGATGAGTTGGATAAACTCATTAGACTTATTCAATGGACTTAAATGATATTTTTTTGGTTAATAGAGCCTCAGCCAGCTCAAGTAGGACTTGGTTTATTTCTACTTATCCATTAATTTTGAGCGGCACAAGTTACAATTAACATGTAATTTTGAGATGGGAAAGCGGGAGTGTTGTGTTCCTATTAGTATTGGGCCAAACTGCCATGAGGCCCAAAAAATCAGGTTTAACTGCGAAGACTCTGCGGCCCATTTACAGCCCTAAAGTCGTCTTGTCACTGACACTGTTACACTATCTTCTTTCTTCTTTGTTTCTTTCCAGTTTCTCTTCAAAGTTCTGTTCTTAGTCAGAACCAAAACCCTTGTACCCTAATCTTTTAATCTATACTAATGGCTTCTGTCAATTTCAATTTCTTTGATAACTGGTTCAAGAAACCTCCAAATCCGCTGCCTCCTGTCAATCTTGTACCGCTAATTAACTCTCTCACAACTAAAACCTCTCAATCCACCAACTTCGCTTCTATTAGCTTCTCAAACCCGCTCAAGAAACCCAAAGAACCGGAAACGGAATCTAAAGAACCGGGTTACTGGCAGCAAATGCTGGACCAGTACTTCTATGAGTGCGAGAACCTACCCGATTACCGTCACACACCAGAAGTTGAGAAGATCTTGAACGAACACCCATTTTTGGAAAAAAAAGAAAACCCAACTGAAGAAGAAATCAAAGAAAACCAGCAATGGTGGGAGGACTTTGAATCCAGCCCGGTTGTCAAGTTTTTGGCCCGGGCGGAGGAAATTGCCGATAAGATTAATGAATTGGAGCTGAAAGAAAACTCGATTCCTTATAGATGGGAGGATAGGAAGATGTGGCAAGCAGTGCCGCACGTTATTGGTCCTGATGGCCGGCCAATGCCGCGAAAGGCAATAAAGACGAGGAAAGAGAGTGATGATAAGTTTTGGGATTTTGCAAGGCAGTTCTTTTTTGGGCTTTGGGGGTTTAGACAGAGACCTTATCCATCTAGTCGACCCATTGATGTTGCTCAGGCTATTGGCTATAAGCGGCTGGAGAAGCGATACTATGATTGTAAGTTGAGATAGGAAACTTGTGATTTACTCTTAATGCTGTTCAGTTTTGAGAATTTCATTTCCATTTTATGTCTGATTTTTAATTTTCTTAATTTGTTATCATAGTTATCATGAGAAGTGGTGGCTTTTACTATAAGGATCGCTTGGGCCGGACACGAGGGCCAATGGAGCTTATTCAACTTAAAACTGCATGGGGTGCTGGGATAATTGATAAGGATACTTTCATATGGGGTGAGGACATGGATGAATGGGCACCAATACACATGATTTATGGCATGGAGCGTGCAATTGCTACTTGGGAAGGTCTGTGTGGTTTCAGTTTTGCATTTTTATTTGTCTGCTTATACAGTAAAGTAAGTAGAAGACTGCAATTTTTGATATATACTTATTTTGATCACTGGCAATGGTAGCTCACTGGTCCTAGATCAGTCAAGTTACTTAGCATGAGATACTGATATGGGCTAAGTATTATGTTGGATGTGATTCTAAAGATTGTATCGCTTGATCCTTATTCTTTATTATATCTCTAGAAGTGGAAATACTGCTGGGGAAAAAAAATCAATTCTGTAATTCTAGATAAATCTATGTTTATTTTCTGTGTTGCCATCTGATATTTCTATAATATAAAGAAATTTTGTGTTGTAGTTGTAATGTAGTAAGTACAACATTGGTAATAAAGTTGTCTCTCTAAATGCCAGCAGGGAATCAAAGCTATTCTCATTTGAAGATTGAAAGAAAGCTTATCTAGGGTCAGTTAAACAACTAATTGAAACATGGCAACTGAAGTGATCCAACCCAAAAATTTTGTTGACCGCGTCAGTTTTATGTAAAAACTGTGCTTTTCTTGTCTTTGCCTTTGTCTTTGATTCTCTCATGTTTCAGTGATATTTTTTATATTGAGTGAGCATTTCAAATGTTTTAAGTCTTGGATTATGGTTTATCTCAGTTAGGCTCGGCGCTGCAGCAACAGCTTTTCTACACAAGCTTCAGAAAGGAATTCCTCCTTGGGTTCCTCTGAAAGGACGAGAAAAGAAAACTTACAAGCAGCTGCAAGAAGAGGCCATAGAGAGTAAAAGGCGTGACTTGGCTGTTTTGGAAGCTAATGATGGCATTTGGCCAGGAGTTAGAATTCCCAGCCATGCTTTATTTCTTTGGGCAAGTGGTTCTGAGATGACAACTATTTTGGAAGCAGACCATATGCCAAACAAATATATTCCAAAAGATCTCAGGTACAGATCTTGCATCTTTTGCTTGATGGTCAAATTGTCTCTTATTGATAAGGAAAGGTTGTCTTGGTGCCTCTCAACTATTTCATGCATGTTGTTTATGTGAAACAGTATTGCACCGCTGTAGATACCCATCTCAACTATTTCACTTTCTTCGTTGCTTTTGTGTGTCAGGCTTGAATTGGCTAAAGTTATCCCTGGCTTAAGGCCATGGGAGGTTCTCAGTGTGGAGCAAGCAATGGACCAAATAACATATGGTGGAAAGTGGTATCGTGAGCCTCTTGGCTCATATACAACTGGTCCGCCATACGTCCGGCACTGGAACAAGGATGTCAAGGTACAGTTATATCATACTTCTAGAAAAAAAAAATCAATTGAGCTTTTTGCTGGAAGGGGCTGGGTAGTTTAGGCAGACTTCAAGTTACCTGGAGACATTGAGCTAGTAGACTTTAAGTTAAGATTCTCAAATTGTTCAAACAAATCCATAAAGCGCATAAGAGGGTGGAAAGCAAGCTAGCTAATTGGTCAGTACTAACTTTTTAGCATTGGTGGCCAAGCCCAAGTAAGCCCACATTATTCAACTTTATTTTCATGGGGTTCTAACCTCTTATTGAAGCATGCATCTCCACCCTTTCAATTCAAATTTGTTATATATTGTTTGGTATAAGAAAATAATTTGGAAACTAAAACTGAAAAGCCCATCTAGTGAACTGCATGGTGCAAAATTGTGGAATGATTCTGAAGAGGTTCTCAATTAGCTGTCTCTGTATATTAGTTCCAAAGTTGTTATGCCTTTTCTATGGATCCTTTTCTGCTGGGGCCTTGTTTTTGTTACTGTGCCTTTTTAATGCATGTGCCTCTGCTTATGCATTTTCTGTATCTCCAGAGAATATTTCGGACTTTCTACAATCTCAGCATCCAAGTTTACAACAAATTGGAGAGGACAATTCCTGGTTTTAGTACTATAATGGAAAAAGCAAATTGGAGAGGACAATTCCTGGTTTTAGTACTATAATGGAAAAAGTCAATGCTGATGCTTCCACCAGGGATGCAAGACGCAAAGCAAGGAGGGAAGAGCAAAAGAAAGCTGAGCAGGAAATGATTTTAAACAGACGACTTAAGAATGATCCATAGGGTCACTACAATCTAAAGTTCCTGACTTTGGACAATTTAATGGTAATTCCCTTGTCAATATATTATCAAATACCATGTTTGGCTGAAGGCAAATTTTGGACAAAATGACAATGAAATTCAAAGTTGTAGTTAGTTCTTTTTTCAACTCTAAAGTTGATCAAACATGAAATTCAAAGCTGGTAACCTTGTATCAGACAGCGTAGTTTAACCTTGTATCTTCTGTGAACTGTTTTTGCATGAGGAGCGAGATATGAATGCGTAGTTCATGGTCTAAAATATTTACGTAAATTTCGTAGCCAAGTATGGTACTTTTCAACTTCTTTTGTGCTAACTTAATTTAATTTCATTTGGTGCATTGTTAAACATGTCTGTTTAGCAGGTAGAGTACTTACCATCCGATTTTGTTAAAAAATTTATGAAAGACATGACAACATCATTAGCATGGTGTATTAATCTGGGCTGAAGGGGCTCAACTTTGGTGTCCAAACCATGATGGGGTAGCATCCGCTGCAGTTTTCACAGAGAGGCAGAAACTTAAATGGCTCCAGAACAGATATTCCTAGGTTAGTGAATAACTATTGTAGCATAAAAATGGAAGTAACTAGAGTTAGTTTAGTACTAGCATGCCTTTACATGTGTTTGATCGTGAAGTCTTTTATTCTGCATCCATCTCCATTAAGAGATCTAAAACACAAAGTTGGATTTGAATCCTTTTATGATTTTGACTTTGTAGTTCTTGATCGTTTTATCATCCTGTCTGTATCACTGTGAGACAGTTCTTACTGGTAGTGGGTTTCAGTGGTTCTGATCTGAATCTCCATTTCTATTCCCATTTCGTATTGTAAAAATCGTTTGCAATTTTTACTTAATTATATTAATTTATCTACATTTACATTACCTTCGATTGTGTCAAGTTGAAATTAGTCACGGGGCTATTAGCTAGAGCCAATTAGAATTAAAACTGGAATTAAATATCATATAAATAAATAAAATATTTTTAAAATCATAAATAAATTGGAACAATAAACTATAAGATATTTATTAAAATTCATGAGGTAAGGGCAGAAATTTCAAACGCCACAGATTTTTAGAGGATTTAAATGCGACACTATATCTGTATAGTTTATTATATTTTTTTAAAGATCATATCTACTCTTTAATTTTAAAATAACATGTTGATTATATGCCTCATACATAGATCCCTAGCGTAATGGCAAGGTCCCAGATTCGAATTTTGATAATTTATTTAATTTGTATCCTTTATTTTGATAATTTATTTAATTTGTATCCTTTTCCTCAGTGGGTTGTACTGCGTCTCTATATGGATTTTGGAATTGTTATAACTGCCGTTAATAGTATAAAGTATAAAGATACACTTTACACAAGTGTGAGGGTTCGGTTAATTAAGTCGAATTAACTTGATTTTAGTCTATTCAAAAATATTTTTAAAGATAATCAATTTAAACTAAATTAAATTAATTTGATTGGTTTAGATTCAGTTAATTCAAATCAAATTAATTACATTGGGTTTAAAAAAAAAATTCAGTTAATTATATATTGTAATCAAATAGAAAATCGAAAATCAAATGTTTTTATATATCTAAACAATCAGTAATTAAATTTCTAAAATAATTATCTGAATTAAACCAAAATAAATGATTTTGATTCAATTTCCAGTTAAACAGTGAAAATTGCTGACCCTGACTCTGATACCTAAACCTGAAAGATAAGTCCCTATACGCTGCACCGTTGACAGAACCATCCCACACACATAAGGATTGGGCTTTTCATTTTGTTTAATCTTTTATTAATTAAATAAGGAAAAACAACTTAAAAGTGAAGTGGTTCAGGGTTAACCAATTCAATCAGCCTGCAAATGAAAATCAACACCATACATGATGCATTATCGTTTTCATTTTTTTTAAGATGTATTCAGAACCGACCTTTTGTATTCAAACGAGGAGGGTACGTGTCAAGAGTTAATTGGTGAATGGAAGCTCAACCAGACAAGATTAATGAAGTACGTGTAAAAAAATCACGGTTCCTGCAAAACAAGTGTTGTTTGCGCAGGCGTTTATCATCCCCAGTGGGATTCCCCACCCGATCCCCCCTCTACTTATAATCGGCGTGTAATCAGCCAAAAAGAAAGAAGACAAGAAAAGAAAAGAGAAGAAAGAAAAGAATGGAAGATGGTGTAACTGAAGCTGAGAGCTTTCTTATGCAGCCTAAAGAAGAAGAAGACAATCATCATATTGGTGAAGAAGAAAAACAAGAAAAGAATAGTAATAATGAAGATAAGGGATCAGGTGGAATTATCGACAATCTTATTTCCCACTTCGTTTCTCCTTTGAATCCAATACAAAAAGATGGTAATAAAGAAGAAGAAGAAGAAGAAGAAGAAGAAGAAGAAGATAAGCAAGTGAAGGCTCATCTTCAAGATCAGGAGACTGCTGGTGGCGGCATAATTGATAACATTGTTTCCCATTTCCCTAAATCCATTCCAGGTAATTTCTTTTTAATAATTGATGGTTTTAACTCTTTAAGTGCATATATAAAGATTATTGTTTAAGTTCGATCGAGCAGTTATTCTTTTCGCTTCCCAAATTAGATTTTTGTTCTATGAGTTCCAACTTGTAATTAAAGCCCTGAAGTTGTGGACATTGATTAGGATTTCAATTGTGTATTTGTTTGTGTAAACAGATGAAGCTGTTCCCACAACGGACGAGGCCACCATTCTAATTCACTCCATTATCCATGATTGATTCATTAGGATTTAGAGAGAGCTATATACAGCCTTTGTGTTGTGTAATAATTTAGGTCATGCATTATTCTTCATTTTTTTTGAGGCCAATGGGCTCTGTATTTTCATGTATTTTTATTTTGTAACTTACTTATTTTCGTTCATTTTCTTTCAGATTTTTTTTCCTTTGTTTGATTAAAATATACCATTTATAACAAAGGATCTGAAAGGAATGAATAGTTCATGCTTTTCTACACTAAGATAGATCAAAAATTCGAATTTTATAAATGGAATTTATATAATAGATTGAATAAGATTAGTAGTAGAAGAGTGAGCTAAAAATACTTGTCCGATGAATATATATATAAATAAGATGTTAGTAGTAGAAGAAGTGAGCCTAAAAATAACTTGTCCCGATGAATATATATATATATATAATAATATATATATTATATATATAGGGGAGTATAATATATATATATATATATATATATATATAAGTAAATATATATTATAAATATATATATATATATATATATAAGTATATATACATATATAATACCGTTCAATGGTTGAGACGCAAAAATGCCTTATTTTGTGAACCTGACCACAATAATAGGAAGAGTATATTTGAATCAAACAGATTATTTTAAGTTAAAAAAAATATATAGTAGATTAAAACTAAATATTCTATTAAATTCATTCAAAATTATGTAAAGTTGTAGCGTGCACCGTCCAATTTCAACCTTTCTAAACACCCCCCCCCCCCCCCTTTTTTTTTTTTAGGACTAACCTTCTACTATGAATTTTTAATTTATTATTTATATACTTAAATTTAATAATCACTCTTTAAATAATTTACGATTAAAATCATTAATTACTGGGAAAGTTTTTAATAAAACACTTATTTCCAGTAAAAACCCTTTTTTTTTTTAAGGACAACCTTCTACTTGAATTTTAATTTATTATTTATATACTTAAATTTAATAATCACTCTTTAAATTACGATAAAATCATTAATTACTGGGAAAGTTTTAATAATAACACTTGTTTCCAGTAAAAAAAAATCCAACAAATGTAGAATATAAGCATCAAATCCAAATAAAACTATAAATAGATATAGATGTTACATAGTAAACTAATAATTTACTTTAATTGAATATTTTTGAAAGATAATATCACACGATCAAATCATCAGATGATTTAAAGAAAAATAAAATTTACAAAAAGTGCGTCATACACAAAATTTTGGCTAATGGCCAGAGTCCGAGAAAAAATGACATTTGATTAGAAAATTATAATTTATAATTTAGTTAAAACTTAATCTATTTGGTGATGTATGAATCTCCTATTTTAAATCCTTTACATTATGAAATAATTAAGCACTTAAGGTTTTTTTGTCACTCGTTAGATTCATTGGCAATGCAAACTAATTTGCGTATGTTCATGGTATTTTTTTTTTTTTCACTCTTCTCTTCTCTAGTGGACAACACACAAGAGAACAAGTTTGGGTAAAGGAATAGAGTTGGTGAAATAGACTACACTAAAAATGGTTGCCAAGCACATGCTTTGGTCTTCTTTCTTACTTAGTAAATTAAGAACTGAGAAGACAATTCGAAAGCGATGCGAAAAGAACCCAATAACACTAAGCATATTCCAATTTCTCTTCTTTGACATTATTAATGTTTTAATCTCAATTACGACTCTTTTTAAATTGATCTCATAATATCACCAATAGGAAAACCCTCGAGGAAGCACCAACCAACCGTTTGACTTGGGCCCCGCTACTGCTTCTTTTGAATATAATAGAAATGAGAATCTCTGGTGAGAGGGAAGGCTAAGTTTGCTAACTCCAAAAATTCAATGTCCATTTCTTCCATTCTACATATATAGGATCCTTTGATAAATCGAAATCTTAATTTTACAATAAAATTTTAATTTCACCCTCTATTTTTAGATTGGTTGATTGTAATTTTTAACTAACAAAATTACACCTGGTCAACAATTTTAAGTTATCCACACCACACGAGTGGCAGTATACAATTTTACAAGAGAAAGATTCCATTGTCTTAACAAATGTTGTTTTGTGTTCTGTCGGATTCACTTGGTTACTTGCTCAGTATTTGTTAATAATGGAAAAAATAATTGAAATCAGAAAATTATACATATAAAATGGAAGTAAGTTAAGGGATTTGAGCAAGAAGTTAAGTGAAGATGGAAGGGTGGAAGGGCTTCCTATGCTTCAAGCAGACATTTCTCTTCTCAGCAAAGTGGATGCTTTTTAAGCTGACTTCAAGTTTAAGACCCAAAGCAAGAGGTAATAAAAATACCAAATTCATTTTATAGTCTCTACAAAGAATTATCTTATTACATGCAATATCGTTTTCTAATGTTTCCTTTCCTTGATGTTGATGATAATGTCAGTGACGAATCAAGGGCTCATGGGTCTTTACAAGGACTTGGAATCTTGTGGGGAATATAGAGATATACAGGTTATGTAATATGTGGGATATGATTCACTCTTCTCCAAGTGATTATAGTACTAGAAGGAAGAGACCTTACAGGAGTTTCTGTTTCAGGCCAGCATAAATAATATTATTCCTTTTGAGATGAGCAAAAAAAAAAAAGCATCCCAGATTCTGATGTATATAGCAGCTGCAGCAGAGAAAAAAGAGAATTTTGCTTGATTTTGTTTCTTGTCCAAAAGAAATCTCTCAGGTTCATATCTTTCATCACATCATTTTAGGAAAGTTTATTTTGTCTGATTTGTTTCTTGTCCAAATGAGTTCTCACGGTATGTCTGTCATCCAAATGCCTTATATTCACATTATGCTAGAAAGTCAGAACTCAAAATAAAAGTTGGAAGTTCTACTCATTTTATTTTAACAAAAAAGCTACAAGCTTTTTATTACAACATTTATAGTCACCCTACGTACAGCAATGGAAGTTCATAAGCATTTATACAATAATAAAGCTCCTAAAAGTTTCAATAGTAAAGGAAATACTTAAACCAAGAACAATACAACTGCATGGTTCATTACGCAGCATCACCCTCATGGAGGAGCATCTGATCAAAGTGCCAGACTCCTGCAAGCCACATATACTTGCTCTCAGTACAAATACATACAGAACGGGAAGTAATTGAAGTATCTAAAAGAGACAGGATGATAAATAGTTGACTAGGAAAGTTTGCACATACCATGTCCTTTACCAACCCTCCTTAATTGAGCGACATACCCTGCTATCTTCTTAATTGCTTCAACCTATAAAAGAAAATCGAAATATTTATATTTCAGTTGAAGTTCACTTAAAGTTTAACACAAATGTGATATTCTTCTTCTCTAGCTGGTTGTTTTATTTTGATCTGATTCTTGCACAGAACAGAACAGATATGTACTCTATGAATATGAGAAATCACCAGTAAAATTCAGAGTTATGCAAGTTTTGATGGCAAATTACTAGACAAGCAACTAAATTATTTGGGAAATCAATAGGCATATCCTTCAAGCATTCTTTGAGCTCACCTGTTCTCCTAAAAACTCACTCTCAATGAATTCTTGCAGTTGGGGATCACTGTTTTGATTTGCCACCTGTGTTCATCAAGAACAAAGAATGGTTCATATGCACAATTTTCACGTAAGAAAATGCCCACAACTTCCTTCAACAAACAGAAATGAGATTTTGCAGGTTAAGATGCATTACACTGTGCAAGCCCAGTAGTTTATGATTTGTCAACTTCTCCAAAGACAATGCCAATTCCATAGCTGAATCAAAGAAGTAAAGATAGCTCAAGTTAATTTGGAAACACAGACCATTACAGAAGCAGAGTTTGCAGACTACAACTTATGAATTCAGCCATTTATGAAGACATTCCATAATAGTAACTGCTTTTAGCTTTGTTTCTAACACCGTACAGAGTTCTTAAGACTTTACCATACAATGCATCTCCCTTTTCTGCATGATCAAATTCTGAAATAGGATTCAGGATAGGATGAAGTTTTACTCTCCCTCCACGTACGTTCTAATCACAATTGAAGAAACAATAATTAGAGATTAATCAAATACCCATTTTGTTTTTCATTGACGAAATAATACAGAACAACGAGCTTAAAAATTTTAGGGGAAGTACTTGATACTTCATTAGCTTTTCAGCGTGCTCTCTTTCTTCTTCACTAGACTCCTTGAAAAATCTGGTTCCAAATAAATCATATCTTAGTTTCATAATAATAAAACTAGAAACTTAAAAAAAAAATTAACAATTTCAGAACAAGAAACTTTACTTGGCTAAGCCCCTCAAGGCAACGTTGTCCCTGTCAAAATATGCAAACATGGCGTGGTATACATACGAATTATTGTATTCCACACTGTAGAAAAACATAATAACAAAACACTAATTAGAAATTTTTAATAGGGAATTTGGACCTAAATAGAATCATTTAGATTCAAAATTTATTGAATAAAAAAACTGACTTGATCTGCTCGTTAACTGCAGCTTCACTCTCATCTTCATAAAATTGGCGAGCAAGAGAAACTTGAGGAGCGATAGGAACCAAATATTCATCCTTCTTGACCTCTTCGAATGGCTGGAACACTACACCAGTAAGCTGTAAACTGCCATCCGCCATGGCAGAAACCACGAGGTTACTGTTGCTTCGCCGCCTCGACGGTGATAATGTCAGGGCCGCCATAGACGAAGCAGAATCCCCCTGTCTGGTTGTCAGAGAAAAAGCTGAAGCAGCTCTCAACAACATCGTTGCTACTAGAAGTTGATCTCAAAAACAGGGAATAAGGCTTCAATGGAGATTGCTGGTTGCAGAAAAGAAGTAGGGGAGAAGATGTATATATAGACTGAAGTCACTGGACGGAGAACCATAAAGAGTTCCAGAGTGGATGGGGTTTATTTTGGACCGTCAGATTAACTGGGCAGTGAGGGGTCAGATGTGTACCACGTGTAGGAGGCGTGTGGCGAGCCCGTGCCTATCCAGTGGGAATGCGATCTCGTCCCAAATATCCGATCCACGTGGAGTACTAATCTCCTTAAAGTCGTATTTTCTATGATGAAAAATTGGACAATCGCTTGAGAGTTTAATTAAATGAAACACTCGCGAGTATTAGCTGACAGCTGTATTTCCAGCGACTTCTCCGTCTGCATGGATAAAGCCTGTAGAATAGGCCACGCGTGCGTGCGAGTAGGATTTGGGTGTCACGCTCTATCTCTAGGCTGGAATTTTGGGCAGAGACATCTCGGTCTTCTAGCGAAACAAAAGAATTCTACGTTGCAAAATAGGATTAGTGGAAAGGGCACGTATCTGCCAGATTGGCTCCATAATGACATCACCGATATATATTCATGTACGAAAAGAGAAAGGAAAGATAAATAAGGAAAAAAAAAAAAAAAAAAAAAAAAACTACGTTGGCAAAATAGGATTATTGGGAAAGGGCACGTATCTGCCAGTATTGGCTCCATAAATGACATCACCGATAATAATATTCATGTACGAAAAGAGAAAAGGAAAGTAAATAAGGAAAAAAAAAAAAAAAAAAAAAAAAACAAAGACGAATGCCTTGTATTCAAAAACAATTTAATTTTTGAAAAGTTAAAAAATATTTTTTAAATAACTTATTTGATTATAATATAAAAAAAAAAAAAAAAAAAAAAAAACAAAGACGAATCCTTGTATTTCCAAAAACAATTTATTTTTGAAAGTTAAAAAATATTTTTTAAATAACTTATTTGATTATAATATTAAAAATTTAATTAAAAGATATTAAAATTTTAATTTATAAGCAAAATTAGACCAATTTTTGGTGAACTCAGCACAATCTTACATGGGAAAACGGATAGCATTAACTTAAACATCAATTCTAAAAACCATTTAGAGCAATATTCACTTAACACGAAAAAACAAAAAAAAAGAGTACCCATATATATTTAAATGCATATGTGCAGTTATTGTTAATCAAGTGACCTACAGACAAATCAATTAGTTACCTTACCTGTTTTTTCAGATACTTTGCTCCACTGTGCGCAGGTCGGCTGTCCACAAATATGAGAGCAAGAGTAGATAGATAGATATTTTGTCCGGAGAACTGAAAAATAACGGAAAAAAAAATATAATAATACCAAAAGAGATGATAGTAAAACATGGTAATGAAATTATTAATTGATGAAGCATTCATAGCGCTTCACGAGAATGCAAATTTTGTTCGGTATTTAACCAATTGTCCAATCCTGCTAACACAAAATGAATATGTTGACGACCCTTCTCTAGACACAACAAGATCTACAACAGTTTCAATGAGCAATAGATGACACAAAAATTTAATCATATATAATTTTAGTTTCTTTATTTCTAAGAATCACAGAGTCTAAAATATCATATTCAGGTGCCTCCAAATATAATAACTTTTACACGTTTTGATTAAGCGAGACCATCTATTTTTATTTTTGATTTAATTTCTAATAAATCAAAAATTAAAAATAAATATAAAGAAATGGAGAAAATGAAAAACTATAATAACTAATGAATAGAATTAAATAATGAAATAGTAAGACGGCAGTCTTCCTTTTTCCTATCGACGAGAATTGATTTCATTGAGGAGTGTCCGAATATATTAAAAATAATGCACCTAAATGTCAATATAAGATAATAAATACCTGAGATTGTAACAAAAGGGAGCAAAGATTTCTTTCATTTGAAATGTATTTAGTTCAGTTAATTCATATAGTTAATAGTTGATTTGTATTTAACTGTTTAATAAAGATATTTTAATCAGCAATTAGTTGATAAGCTATTTTAAAGTTTTTTTTTTATAATTACAATTGGATTTATATTTAAATAAAGAAAAAAAAAAGAATGGGTTTTAGATTGAAATATTAAAATTTGAATACAACCTAACCCAACTTTTAATTCTTCACTCCCAACCGTGAATCAGGATATTTATCTTGGATAGCAACTTGTCTGGCTTGAATTGTTTTACTGTCATGATTGACATTGATACATTATACTTTTTGTCAAATAATAATTATCTATATAATACAAGTAAAAAAAGAAGAATTCATATATAATATTATATAACGCACGCAAGGAATCTTATAAGCATTAGAAGTAGCAGAGAGAGGAGAGCATGTGATATGAGATTAAGATGAAAGGATAGGGGACCGTTTTATTTCAAATCGGATTCGGACGACAACAAGTTTGATTGTCGATATATGGGTTTTGGCTACATGTCCAAATCTGGTGCTTTTGGTAAAGGGGCTTGTGGATACCACGCGTGATATATAGTGCTCACACATTTCTTTCATGATCTTCAATTATATTCAAACCTCAATTTGTCCCATTACACTATTAGCCAACGACATGAAATATTGAAAATTTAACATAATTATTCAGTCTTGTGGCTAACACAAGTCTTGAGGTTTATTTCCAAATTTAACCGAGCGCAGTGCGAACCATAATTTTTTTAAATTTACTATAATAACTTTAATATAATAACTATAACATCAGCAACACCATGCATAGTTATATTACCAACGAGGTATTATTGTCCTTTCACCGTATTATACTGTAGTTGTACCTGACCCATATTATACCTAAAGTATTTATCTTTTTACAAAATTAATTCTCTTGAAAGTTATTGAGCCTTGTCAATTTTGGTTTTAGCTTATTTTGTATTTTTTTAATCTTTTCTTTTTTTATTAGAATCAATAGTTCTGTCATTTTTATTTGATCTGACATCTAAAAATTAGAATTGAGAGTAATTTAAAACTGTCATGATTTCTAATTCCTTTTAAATTAGTATCAGCCAAATGAATTTAGAGAAGTTAAAACTGTGCCGACTCAATAATTGAATCTAACTATAAAGAAATCTAAATTTTCAATTGGATAAAAATTGAAATGTAAGAATTTAGGGATAAAAAAAAAAATACTTCCTTTATAATTTTTATCCTAATGACTTTTATTCATAAAGTGGGGAATAATATTAAATTGTAATCTTAATTTGATATATGAATTAGAAGGATATTGGATATCAATTATAACAATAATTTATTTAAACAATTAGTTTGTGTGATTTATATTCAGAAGATAAGTAAACAATGACTTCATAATGAAGAATATGATAAAATTCATTTTTTTAAAAGGTAAAAATTGCTTTTCGAGGTTCAATCAATTAATTTACATATGATCACAATTAAATTTTAAATTGAAATCAAATAAACTTAAATAAATAGAAAAAAAAATTAAATCATAATCAACAGTTTTTGATTGCGAATTATAACTAACATGGTGTGTGTCTATAATTCAATTTTAATTCTTAATTCTTTGAAATTAGAACGTACAACTTCAGTTTAAAACAAGATTTAAATTTAAAGCATTAAAAAAAGGAGAAAATTATAAAATAAAATAAAAATATCAAAGAAACTCTAAATTTTTTTAAGTAAATTTTAATATTTTTTTTATTAAATTTGTTTCTCTACCACAATTTATTATTGTTTTACTATTATTAATTATTTATGTTACACAATTAAAAACATTACAAAGTAAAACTTGAGAGAAGGTGTCCGACATCTTTAAATTAAAATCAAATCGATATATGTCAGTTTCAAAAAACTAGAAACCGTTTTAGAGCAATCATGGTCGTGTCTAAATTAGGTACTTTCTTTACTGTTTAGAGCATATCTTCTTAGCACCCAATTACGTTTACCAATCCAAGTTTACCGCTAACCGATTGCTCTAACTTCTGCCGTCTTCCTCTGCCTCTTCAATTTCAGAAAAAAAAAAAAAATTCCTTGCTCTCGATTCCTTTCTGCTATTCATTTTTTTGTGAATTAGACAGTCTCTTTCTCATTCTAAAAATTCTAATTTCTAACAAAAGATAATTTCGGTGTATGGCGACAACCCAATCCCATCACACTTCTCGAAAGCGATTCTCAGGCCTCAATCATCCACTCTCCCTTTTAAACTCTAATCACACTCTAACTCTTTTCATTCATTCCTCCTCCTCCTCCCACCGATGGCCACTGATGCCTCCCCCAAATATCGGACTCCCGATTTTCACCCCTCCGAGATTCCCGATATCTCGGTCTCCCACGACGGTCTTCATTTCTGGCAATACATGATTGCCGGTTCCATCGCCGGCTCCGTCGAGCACATGGCTATGTTCCCCGTCGATACGCTTAAGACTCGCATGCAAGCTATTGGCGGGTCATGCCCGCCCCAATCTATTGGAGTCCGCCAGGCTTTCGGTTCTATTTTGAAACTGGAGGGTCCAGCTGGACTTTATCGCGGTATAGGCGCTATGGGCCTTGGAGCTGGACCCGCTCACGCCGTTTATTTTTCCGTTTATGAGTCCTGCAAACAGTCTTTTTCCCGCGGGAATCCGAATAATTCCATGGTGCACGCCGTCTCCGGCGTTTGTGCTACGGTTGCTAGTGATGCGGTGTTTACGCCGATGGATATGGTGAAGCAGAGATTGCAGCTGCAGAGCAGTCCGTACAAAGGAGTTGGTGATTGTGTTAGGAAAGTGTTGATAGAAGAAGGAGCTGGAGCGTTTTACGCATCGTATAGAACTACAGTTGTTATGAACGCGCCGTTTACGGCTGTTTACTTCGCGACTTATGAGGCGGCAAAGAGGGCGTTGATGGAGGTGTCGCCAGAAAGCGCGAGTGATGAAAGAGTGATAGTTCATGCCACAGCCGGTGCAGCTGCTGGTGCCTTGGCTGCTGCTGTTACGACCCCGCTTGATGTGGTGAAAACGCAGTTGCAGTGTCAGGTAATATGTTACTCCATTTTTATTGGATTAGATTTCTGTATGGTCCTTCTCCTTTCATGGATGAAACAGAATAACTTTTGATGTTTATACTTGATTGATACAGGGAGTATGTGGGTGCCATAGATATTCTAGTAGTTCAATTGGGAATGTTATTAGAACAATAGTGAAGAAGGATGGATACCATGGGCTAATGAGGGGATGGATCCCCAGAATGATGTTCCATTCTCCAGCTGCTGCCATTAGCTGGTCCACTTATGAAGCAGCCAAGAATTTCTTTCAACAACTCAATTGCAGCCAAGAAGACAACTGAGCTTGAGGTTGAATCTCATAATTCTTTTAAAAAAGTGCTGGTAAGTTATGCCAAAGCCCCCAATTTACATGTATATCACAAGATTGTTGCACTCAGATCCAATAATAATAATAATAATACTGAACATCTGCTTTTGCTTTCACTCTATATATAATAATAATAATATCCTTTTTTTTTTTTTTTTTTTATAAATTAATAATACTGAAACATTTCTTGCTTTGCTTGTTCACTCTATACTATAATTATAATAATTCCTTTTTTTTTTTTTTTTTTATTGATCGTTAAAGTTGTCCAATTATCTGTGGATCACACTAATACATTAAACTCTTAAGTTTTTTATTTCAAAAACAAGATAAAAATAATATGGTTTCTCTTTTTAAAATAATAAAATTAAAGAAATGTGACGATTAGAATATCGAATTTTTTTTTTTTTTTTTATTAGATGTTTAAGTTGTCCAATTATCTGTGGATCACACTAATACATAAACTCTTAAGTTTTTTATTCAAAAACAATAAAATAATATGTTTTCTCTTTTTAAAATAATAAAATTAAAAAATGTGACGATTAGAAACGAATTTGTTTTTACTTTCTTTTTTCCTCCTTATTTCCAACAATTGATTTGATTTTTTTAAAAATTTTATTTGTTAAATTTATATAAAAGAAATTTCATTATTTTAAAAGTATAGAAAGTGTAATATTCCTTAACTTTTATTTAAAATAGAATTTTTGATTATGAACATATTTATGGTTTATATTAGTTCAAAAATTGATTTTATATTCTGAAAAATTTAAGAATCAAATTGGAACCTTAGATTTCCTTTTGATAGTTGAATATTAAGAATTTTTCGGTTCGGTTCAATTTCTATTTTCTTTTTATGGAGTTCACTTTGATTATTTTCTATAAAATTTATATTTGAATTGACTAACTCAAAAGAAATTTAGAAAGGTTTGATTCTAGAAGGTTTGATTCATATCCAATAGGTAGATTGATTATGTATTTAATAAGTTTTTTAATTATAATAGCTATAAAAATTTCAATCAACTATGTTATATTTTGAAGTTTTTTTTATATGTATTTATTGTAAATTTAGATTTTATAAAATTATTATCTTTCAAATTAATATTGTTTATGATGGTTTTATTTATAATTATGTGGAAATAATATTTTTATTAAATATTATTTTAAAAAATTTAATTAATATTTTCATTTATATAATATATTATTTACCCTAAAAATTAAAAATAATGCATTACCAATCATAATATATAAAAATAATTATACACTTAATGATTTAACAGCAATTGCTATTAAAATTTTATTAAACATCAAATATTCATTAATTAATTTCTATCGGCCATTAATTATCAGCCACTGTTTTCAGCTATTAAACGTGAACTGTGGAGTTAAATGGGCTTTTTAATTATTTGATTCGGTCGGTTTAGTTTGCCAATTGCACAGCCTGTACAATATAAGGACTGACAAGTCAGAGCAGGATTTTTTTGAAAAAAGAATACGAAAATTTTATTAGTAAGCATAAGTAGCCATAAAGCTAGAGCTTAATACCGCTATCTTAACTTGTATGTATTATTATTATTATTATTTTCTGGAAAATTAATTATTTGTCGGAAAATGTAGGAAAAATAATTTTAACAAACCTCGGGGATTAAATAAATATTTTCCTTTTTTTCTGACCACTTTAAAGTATTATTTTATTGTAGAATAGTATAATCAAATGAAAAAATCAAGATTATAAGATGATATCGTTTTGATGGGATAAAAGAATTCTTATTCTTAGGTAAATTATTTTGCTATTTCTGTCTATATACGTAAATAGTCAATTTGAACCTTCAAAAAAAACAAAAGAAAGTCAACTTGATAATATTGTATGGAAAAAATAAATAAATAGCATCACTAGTAAATAATCTTTTAAAAAATGATTCACTCTTTCACCGTAATAACAGAAATATAAGATATATATTGAAAATTTCAGGGAAAATGTGATTATAATTTTTGGGTTGTGCCTTTCTGATATGTTACCTCCGTTTGGAATGGAGATGAAAGATATATATACTTCTTCTCAGTTCGGTCTTTACAGTTGGCAGTCCAGTATTTAGTTTGAGATAGTAAAATGATCAAGCACATGGGCTAACTTGTTCAACAATAGGTTTTCCAAGACAATATTTGGCGGCAAAAACCTTCCATCAAAATTACCACTACACGCAGAGGCTTCGTTTACCGCAAATAGGAATTTCTTACTACACCAGTTTCTAGAGTAGTTTTTTTATGGCATGCAGATTCTGTCTTATAACAACAGGTAGATGAAATTTTTCCCTTAAAAAGAGAAAACAAATAGAGGAATAGTTCTCCTCCAGATTTCAAATCACTAACAAACTACCGGAAAAAGAAATGTCATGCCATGCCATAGCAGCACAAGCTTCATGTATAATTAAAGAACAAGCTTCATGCAAACCAAATATGTTGTCGAAATGAGAACGGATCTGTGACCTGGTAACACTGATAATTTAAAATTAATCTAGAATAAATGAAATTTCACTAGATCATTACCATATCCAGACTCCAGATGGAACACACAAAATACAATTAACAATTCATTTTACCCATAAAATGAGGAAGGCTTGCACAAGAGTCCATATGCAATAACAGATCAAGGGCGTTATTCACAACAATATTATGCCTACAAAGCATTTTACTTTTTACCACTTCAGAACTTGTCTACATTCACTCCGTCTCTAAGGACCTCATACGCCTCTCTTTTCCTGGTTTTCTTCATCCCAGCTGTGAAATGGAGTTTCGGTCCATCAGAACTGATACAAGTCACTTTAACCCAAATCATCACCTTGGTCTTCATCCCCTCTATATCAGCTAGTTTCCCTTTCTCCAAATACCCAGATACTATGGTGTTAAAACGCAACACGGATGAATCCTTGTAACCCACTTCACAGACTTCAGGAATAAATACAGTAAGCTTCCCAGTCTCCTCATTAAACTCATAATTTGTAGCATCTTTAGGGAAGATTCCTACTGCCAAGTCATACTCCTTGAGCAATTCTGGCAATGGCTTTTGCATTTTTCCTGTGCACCAAATATTAATTCAGTTCTATGCAATCCACTAGAAAATATTTAAAGAGGAAATTGGCAAATCAACATATTCAACATGCTAATGAAACCGACACTTTCCATGTAGTCTTTCATTAAAACAAGGGAGATAGCAATTGGCTTCATGGATGAAGCTAACATCTTACTCCAACAAACTTCAATGGCACTCACTCTAACTATATCACCAGACATTTCCCGAAAAGGTTTCGATTAAGCCAAGTGGCAGCTGAATTTAGCCAGCCTTCTGTCTATTGCAAATAGATCTTTCTAACCAGAGTGACATCAAATCTAATGAATATTGAATATACAGATATGTCCTCTCTACAGGCTCCCAGTTGAGACCCCAACTTGCATTTGAAAAAAAAAAAAAAGAAATATATGCTTGGTCAAATTAAACTTATTTTCAAGGTCCCAAACAGCCGAACAACAACAACTAAGCCTTAATCCAAACAGTTGAATATTTTGCAAAAATTCCCAAAATCCAAATCATATCAAAAGGGCACAGCGCAATCCTATATTTCACATTGAGATAATCAGAAAAGCTGTTTGTACATGAAAGTAAAACAGAACAACACAAGCATCTAACTTCCGGGTTGTGCATAGACTGAATACTAAAAGAAAAAGGAAGCAAAGGTAGTTTAGAACAGGATTATATCATGATGGAAAAAGCAGAAAATCAAATGTCGCAGAAAGGAGAAAAAGAAAGCGCAAGAAAAGAGGGAATCAAGACCAACCTTTTATTTTGTTGACTATCCATTTGGCTCCTCCTTCAATACTCGTTGACAATGACTGATTAAGAGGGTAAAGATGTCATAGTGAAAATGCATTAATGATAGATGCAACAACAGCATAACATATGGGCATGAGGGAACATGCAAAATGGAGAAATGTTAATATGAACGAGCAACTCACAATTACAAAGAATTTATGCAACTAGATTACATCATCTTACCACAGATGGGAAGGGGAAGGGGGAAGGGGGAAGGGTACATTTTGCAATATCTGGCTTGAACATGAAAAGAACTCATATTCCATGTGATTTTCCATGACAGCATTTTCAAAAATTCAAACAATACTTATTCGTAAAAAAATTTTCAGCGTTCTTCAATCTCTCACTCCTAAATTTGATAAGCCGTCAATGACCACAACCAAAGCTTAGAAAGTTACGTAATATTTGTGCATCAAACTATGTTAAGAGATTCTACTTGTTCCAACTTCCAGTTTTGGAAATTTATATTACTCCAAATAGTCTCTAGTCGATTCTTCCTCCAAGTTAAACTAATGAGAAAACCATAAACCATCTGTCTCCAGCATTACCTCAATTCAGAACCATTTAGGTATCACATGCCCAAGCACCGAATCACAATTGCAAGCTTAACTTGGATTAAAAAAGCAGTCATTCGTTCTTATTTATAAATGTTCCCAAATAAACCCTAATTCTAACCATTTCAGCAAAATTAGTATTTAGTCTATCCATTTAAGTAAGAAATAACAAAAATTTCAAAAATGATCGCAATTACTACTATTAATCGATGCAAAATCTTCGTATTGAAGTTTATCGTAAGAAATTCCTAATCTGATACACAATTTATACATGGAAAAGGTGAGGAACGAGATTATGAGCAGATCGAAGTTATTGATCAAATTAAAGAGCTAATTTTAAAGAAACAACTCAAAATGGAGAGAAAGGAAGTTAGAGAGAGAGAAAAAAGGGAACGTACATTGATATCGTCGCCGACGGAATTGAGCTCCTTGTTGGCCTTCTGTCCCAACCAAAAAGATCCGACCTTGTTCAGTACCTGATCCATGTTTATATTTGCAGTACTCTGTCTCAAATCGTCGATTGAGATACTGGATTATCGAGATTAATTTTTATTTTGCCCCTTCCTATCTGCAAAGAGATCGAAGTAAGGAATTCTTGACTCCTTTCTCTCTCTAGAAAATTTTGAGAGAGACAGGTAATCGTTATTGGCTACCAGTTTCATTTTTGTTTTTAGGGCCCATTTAAAAAAAAAAAAATGCTATGAAAAGTTTTGTACCACCTCAATTTCTATTCTTAAAAGTTAACTCGTGATACAAGCTGAGTGAAGCGCGGATGAATATTACAAGATGAAATATTATAATATTATTTAAAAATAATAAAATTATATAATAAAATAATGTGAAATGCATTATAAAATTTTATTGAGATCTGCTAAAAAAAATATTTCAATGTCATAAACATCTCTTCTTAAATATCTCGTAAAACCTTTACTAAAATATGCAATATCAAAAGTCATGTATAATATAATTTAGAAGTGTCAAAATAGATTGTCGCGTAAGGTTTGATACGGATTCGTCTATCATCCGACACGATTAAGGTCAACATAAACATGACCAATTTAATAATTGTGTTCAATAATAAAATAATGTGAAATGCATTATAAAATTTTATTGAGATCTGCTAAAAAAAATATTTCAATGTCATAAACATCTCTTCTTAAATATCTCGTAAAACCTTTACTAAAATATGCAATATCAAAAGTCATGTATAATATAATTTAGAAGTGTCAAAATAGATTGTCGCGTAAGGTTTGATACGGATTCGTCTATCATCCGACACGATTAAGGTCAACATAAACATGACCAATTTAATAATTGTGTTCAATTTTTTAACACGAATACGACATGAAAATTAGGTAAGTAACACGAAAATTAGACAGGTGATACGAACACGACACGTTTAATCTGCCTAATATCATAAATAAGATAAGTGGATTGTCTTGACCCGTATACAATCGGTGTAACCCGCTTAATATCATAAACAGGTTAAATGAGTCATGTTAACTAGTATACAATCCACTTAACCTGCTTATAATATTTTTAAACTTTAACCTAATTAACTCCTATCATATTTAAAAATAATTTTTCATATATAAAATGCATAAATTCTTCAAGATTCATAACTAAAATAAAAAGTAAAACAACAATAAAATTTAAATAGGTTTTGGTTGGAATATTTATATCCGGCACTAAAATTATATTTTTACTCTTAAATAAATGAATTATTCGCCTAACTTGCGTGTCAACCCGCGTTACGATACGTTTATATTCGTATCATAAATGAGTGACTCGTTTATTACACAAACTCATTTAACCTCAACTCTAATCCATTTTCGGGGGTTAGGAAAAGTGTGTTTGCGTGTCATGATCCATTTTAACACCCTTAGTATGACCTACATTAATTTTTAATATATATTTACTTTTCTTTCAATTTTATTATAGACATTAAGTTTTATATAATTATTCTAATGTTTTGAATTTGAAATAAAGTTCTTTAATTTAAATAACTTTCAACAAAATTAACAAATATGAAATTAAAAATAATTTAAATTATATTTTTTAATTAAATTATATATTTTATAATATTACCACAATATCTCTAAGATTATTGATAAAAATATTTACTGTGTACAACACATGCATTTTGCTAATTTTAATATATAATTAATTTTCATAACCAACTCTTAATCTTGATAATTTAGTATATTTGTCTTTTCAATTATATGGTTTTAATATTAATTTAATTTATAAAAAATTATACCTAAATCTATTGATACGAAATTCATTTTTATTAACGAGTTGAAAATTGAGTACTAATAATTTATTATTTCTGTGCCCCTAAAACAATTATGTAGACATTTAAAAAATAATATTTATCATAATCAAACCAAGATCTTAGAAGCTGATTGGCTTATACAAGTAATAAACCAGAGAGAAGAAAAAGATAGCATGTCTGCTTATCCATCCATGAAAGCAACAAGGGAAGATTCGTAGAGACAACAACAGTGTCACCTTTCTGACCAATCGGACTATTCGCTTTTATCTTTCTTTTTGAATTTTCAGTTTTTGACAACCACTCTATCAATAATAAACATGCCCAAATTGCAATTTGCTGCCACATAATTAATTAATTAAATTTAGTGTGTTTAAATTTTTAAATTTTTTATATTTTGGTATTTTATAGTTATAAAAATAGACAAAAAGGATAAAATGGACAAAATGAATCAACTGTACTTGTAATTGAATTGTATTGCTCGTAGAGAATAGGAAACCTAACTTGAGCTTTTATTTTTTCTTGTTACTAAGTATCTTGGACCGACTGAAATCCTTCCATACTGGCATATGTCACATTCTCTCTCTCTCTCTCTCTTTTTAATTTTAATTTTTATTTCTTTAAATTTACTCAATTTCAGTTATTCCCTATTAAATTAAATTAAATTAAATTAAATTCACATGCCCTTTCGCCAACTGAAAAGGTAAAGGTTGAAGCTTGAAGCTTCCACAATGATCCAAAAATAAAACTGAAAAAACACAAGAGTATGTAGTTATATCAGTTAATTAGGTTTTCAAAATAGTTAAAAAATCTTGCATTGCATCACCTTCATTTATGAATTCACAACTTCTCTTTCGTATGTACTTATACCAAAACACGTGTATTGGAACTTGCACTAAATCGATGCACACAAACAATTCGAAAAGCAACCGCTTCATTTCTACATTTAACAAATCATGATTCAAATATTAAATTCTTTTAACTGGATTAATGAGTATTGAAATAATTGGTTCTTACGCCTTTTTTTTAATTATAAATTGAGAATTCAAATATTATCAATAAAGTAAATACTCGTGAAAAATACTCTTTTTTTTTTTAAATCGACTCAGTATAAATACAATTTAATTCTATACAATAGAGTGAGAATATATGCAATTAATATATATATATATATATATAGCTTTTTTTCTATAATATATCTCGCTTTTTTAATTTAAAAAAAATCAAACAGCAGTTATATATATATATATATATAGCTTTTTTAATTAAAAAAAATCAAGAAATTGAAAGAAGAACGGATATATCGTACCTTGTATTTATATTTGTACCACTCATACTCAAAAAATAAAAACAAAAAATAGAAATGAAACCATTGAATTGATTTCTTCTTAAATTAGTAATACATTCATTGCATTTAGCAAATATATGCATACATTTCCCTTTCTATTTATTTATTTATTTATTTAGAGCAACTTGCTTTGTCAACCTTAAATTGTATCTATATCTATATAATTAATATAATGAAGAAGTCTTTTGTTTCATGAATTATTTATATATAATAAATAAATTATTGTGATTATATTTCTAAAGAATTTTATTTAAAATTTTAGTAATTACTCATCCTAAATGATATAATTATTATTATTTTCATTCAAATCATTGATTTGTGCAATACTTTTTATGTAAATTTATTGTGCTACTCAGTGCGATACGGTAGAAAATATTGATATTCAAGTGAAAAGAAGATCAATTTAAAAAAATTTATTATTATTTTAATATTAAGAAAGGAAATATGAACTGGATTTATTATCGACGTAAATATTTAAGACAAAGCTATAACATGAGTGGATAAAATTTTATTTTAGGAAACATTATGTAGTATTTACTATTGAGCACCGAAAAACACATGCATGCATTGTGGCAAATTCTGAAAATAGGGGGGAAAAAAAATGAAAAGAAGGGATATATATGGAAGGAAAATACATTATATATAACGTGTACACGAAAAAGGAAAACGTAAAATGACATTTTATCTCCATAATATGCATGTATATTACAGAAAACCTTAAGAAAACATTTTATAAGTATTTAATTATATTATCTTTTGACTTTCATTATAAGTCAAAGTATAAAAAAATGGAATTCAATGTTTCGTTTTCTACATTTTTTATGAAAAGAATATAATTAAAGAGAGAGATTTTAAAATCAAATTTTAAAAATACGTTTGTATCAATTTAAGAAGTTTACTCAATCTCTTATTATATACTTTATAATACTATTTCAACTTATTTAATTTATAATAAACAAAAAAAAAAAAAAAGGATTCTATGAATGACTTGATTTCAACTTATTTAATTTAATTCATAAAATCAAAAAAAAAAAAATAAAAAAAGGAAAACTAAGTTCTGTGTATTTACTTCACCGATCTGACATTTCTTAGAAACAAAAAAAAAAAAAAAAAGGAAAACAATTTGTATTTATTTCACCGACTGAATTTCTTAGAAACAAAAATTTCGATTTACAAATATAAAAATTTTAAAAATAAAAAATAAAAAATAAAAATAATACCAAACAAGCCCCTAATATATTCGTTACAGCATGGAGGTGATGCTAATTTTACCTTAATTTCCCAATTATCACCATCTTTTTTCTCTAATTAAATTAACATTTTTCTCTTGAATTATCCTTTGCATTTCTCATAAATAAAATTGCCACAAAAAAAAAATCCTTTTCTTGAAAAAGAAATATGCCATCACAGTCTAAATATTTTTAGCATCAGATTCAGTAAGAGAGCCACAATATTATTTGCTTCTGTGCCCTTTCTTATGTTCCAACGGTTTATAAGCTCTTTTTTTAACCATAATTATATATATAATTTAGAAATTAATTCCTATATAATATTATATTAAAAATTAAGAAGTGTGTTATCTTTTATTTTAAAGATAATTAATATATATTATTAGATTAATTAGCTAGCTAATGCTTGAAATGGTCTCATTAGACAATCAGGTTGGAGATATTTAATTATCAAGTAGAAGGAAGCCGGTGATATTATTAGAGAATATTTTAGACAAGGAAGAGAGGGGAATCACTCTAGAAGAAAGAACTCTTGAGAGATGATAACCAAAGCACTTTAAAATAGAGATAATACCAATATAAAAATAAAATAACACTACCAAGTGGAAACATTTTCCAACTTTCCGTAAATGAAAAAGATTCTTTTTTGTCTCAAAAAATTAGCTTAATAATAATTTATCCAGATATAGAATAATTAGTAGTTTATGAAATTACCATAATTTTGTAAAAAAAAAAATTATAATAACTTTTAATTGCTTCAATTAAACTTTTCAAATTATAATAACTAAATTGATTTTCGGTTATACTCAGATATATTAACTAATCAAGATTCTTATTTTCAGAGCATATAATTTAGTTGTACAATATCTATCCTTATTATACTAATTAATCTTTCTGTTAATGATGACTAATTAGTTAACGAGAAAAAATCAATGAACTATATAATTAAATTTTAAACATAGAATAACTTCACTAATATATTATTATGTGATATGAAATAGTAATTATTCATTCTTTTTAATAATTAGGAGGTTTAATCATTTTTGGTGTTAAATGTAAAAATAACTTGTGTTCTCATTCTTAAGAAAATTGAGATCGGTTACCATCCATTCAGCATCTTATTGGTGTGATTCACTTTTTTTTGAAACATTTATAATAGAAAAAGAAATAAAAGAATTTAGTGTAATAAAGATAACGTGGTTGAATTTTCTTCTATGAAATATTTGAAAGTAAACAAGAAACTAAACATTAATTCACGAATTATTTTATAAAAAAAACTAGAATATTATTATTATAAGTGGAAGATCCAAATGATGGAGGACATTGAATTGACTCGAAATGCCCTTATGAAGAGGGAAGAAGAGAGAAGATTCAAACAAGAGAACCTTTCAATGGATGGTTGTATGGTCAAGGACCAAATGAACCATAATCTGAGGACCCAAAAGGTAATTGTTTTTATATTAATATACAAAAATGGGACCCGGACCACCAGAAAGAAAATGTAGCAGTGGATCATGTGCAAACGGGTCCAAGTTGTTATAATTTACAAAAAAAAAAAAAAAAATGTAGCAGCTGGATCATGTGCAAACGGGTCCAAGTTGTTTATAATTTACAAAAAAAAAAAATAAAAGTGCAAATTTTAAAAAAGAAGGTGAGTGAATAATCTTTGTAAGTTGAAAACGAAATAGACAAGAAAAAGAGAAAGTATTTGATGTATGAATGATAAAAGAGATTTATGAGAATAAATGATACCAAGAAACGAATCCACAGTTAAATAGTAATTAAAGTAAAAAATGATTAAAAATGGGTGTTTTTTTTGTCGGGAGGGCCTATTTGGCTATTTTGGGCGGTCGGACATTGAAGAAATAGATGTAGTTTGAGAGGCATTGAAGCTGCCATGATAGAACATTTACTTGGCTTAATTAATAAAATTCACTTTTTTTCTTATATTATTAAGCGATAAATTTTCGTTTTCTTCAATATTCTTTGTCTTGTATTTGCAGTCTTTACGCTTGCTAAAAATATCTCTCTGCTCTTCTCTTTGAATGCTTATTTTATCCAGCAGCTTTAGCCCTTACTGCTCCAACTTCATCTTGTGCGCAATTTATTGTTATGCCCATCTTCTCCTCTTCTTTTCTCTCTCTCACTTCTTCCTTCAACTGCTTTTATATCACGAACATAATGTTACACATTACGCCCTAGCCTTTAATATAAACTTGGTAAATATACCCGATATTCAGGTAAATTACTTTGATAAAAATTAATAAGTTTCTTAACTTATTTCAGAATAGTGTCAAAATTAATTGTGGTTAATAGTCCCTATTTTGATATTAATTCAACATAAATTCATTTAAATCATTACTTAATTAGATGATTAATAATTTATGAACTAACCAACAATTGCAATATAATCATGTTCAAAGTATAATAAAATATTACATATGAGACATCGGATAATCAACGCACTTATTATTCATTTTGAATCAAATATACTAGAGTTACGTCCAATTTTTGAAAGGATAACCTAGCGCTATTCATGCAAAACCTAATAATAAATGTCTATAAAATTTATATAAAATATATATAATACTATAGTGATATAAAAACTAATATTAATAATATATTACATAAAATTATTATATACGATATATAATAATTTATTTAACTTATTTGCTTTATTATTCTCCCTAATTAATGTATAAATTAATTGAATATTTTGAACAAATTTATAGTGACTTATGATTTACTTTAAATCTCTAAAGACTATAATCATATATACAAGTACAAATCGTTTATGTGATTACAACATTTATTTAAACCTCAATTTTAGAATATTGTCGTGTTAATTTATGTAGTCCACTGATGAAATTCTTTCTTTTCTCGAGTTAAGTTAATGATCACATTTTTGACGCGTCCACATAGCTCGATCCTTAAACCAGGTATTGTTTAGTAAATGTAAGCAATTTCAAATTGGCCCAGGAGCTAATTAGGTAATTTGATGAAGAGCAACTAGGTTCCCTCCCTTGTGGTATTTTATCATTAAGTCCTCACGATGAATTTTCACTCTTCTCTTAACTTTCTCTTCTCACATTGATGAAAAACTCCAAATCGCCACCCCTCTACCCTCTCTCTCTCTCCTTCTCTTCTCTCTCTCTCTATCCTTCAAGGAGGATATATAAACTATTTTTATTATCCCTAATTAATTATAAATTAAATTGATTGAACAAATTAATCTATGACATGATTTATTTAAATTTTAAACTATATCATATACAAGACAATCGTTTATGATACAAATTTATTTAAACTCAATTTTAATATGCTTAATTTTGTGCCACGGTGAATCATCTTTCCGAGTTATGATCCATTTTTGACGCTTCACATAGCTCGATCTTAAACAAGGGTATTGTAGTAATTGTAAGCAATTCAAATGGAGGGCTAATTAGGTAATTTGATAAGAGCAACTAGGTTCCTATTTTATTACCTCACATGATTTTTCATTTCCTTAACCTTTCTTTCTTCTCCTTGAGAAAAATCCAAATCGCCCACCCACCACCCTCTCTCTCTCTCTCTCTCTCTCTCTCTCTCTCTCAGAGTCACGGCATAAACATACATAAACCACTGCAAACAACAACATCCACACCTTAATTCAAATCTCTCTCTCTCTCTCTCCAACTCCAGTTGGAAAGTGACTAACCTCAACTCTATCTTCCGCTCTTTCTTGTCTCTTAAATATATATACACATACATCACAAAGCACAAGTATTTTTAAACCTCCAGTCCTAAAATCCGTCTCTCTTCAAGAAATGCCTTCTAATCCTCCGAAATCCTCTGTTTTACTTCATCGGATCAACAACAACGCCACTAACTCAACCATCGCCCAGAAACGCTGGTCTCCTCTTTCTTGCGCTACACCAGTGCCAGAAACCGTCGCATGTTATCACAACCATGAGTTAGGTCCCAACCAGTGCTGCTCCGCCGTCGTACAACAGATCGCAGCCCCTGTCTCTACTGTTTGGTCTGTCGTCCGGCGATTCGATAATCCTCAAGCTTACAAACACTTCCTGAAGAGCTGCAACGTCATCGTTGGCGATGGCGCAGTCGGTACTCTCCGAGAAGTCCACGTCATCTCTGGACTCCCCGCTGAAAATAGCACGGAACGGTTAGAGATCCTCGACGATGAGAGACACGTCATCAGCTTTAGCGTTGTTGGTGGGGACCACCGGCTGACGAATTACAGGTCCGTTACAACTCTCCACCCTTCTCCTACGGGTAACGGCACTGTAGTGGTGGAGTCTTACGTGGTGGATATTCCGCCGGGCAACACCAAGGAGGACACGTGTGTGTTTGTGGATACCATCGTTCGTTGCAACCTGCAGTCGCTTGCTCAAATGGCCGAGAACTTGACCAGACGCAATAAATCATCCTCGTGAGTGATAAATATAAATATTATTATATTATTATATAGATATTAGTGTTAAAATATCAAATGGTTTGGTGATACTGATACACCGTCGTTTTTGTGAGTATCCGATGTAGGTTTGCCAATGAAACTTGAACAGCTTGTTTTTCCTTGTAATATTACTACTTCTGCTATTTCTTTGTTTCTTTTTTCTCATCAATTTGTTAAATAGAAAATGAATAATGACACATCCCATCACCTCTCTCTCTCATGCGACCTTTCACTAGTTTTCCTCCGTCGTCATTACCCGCGAAGTGATGGTTATTAATAAATTATTAAACGACATTGTTGGTTTGGATGGGAGTAATTTAATTTAATAATAATAATAACAATAATCAAAAAGAACAAATAAATGTTCTATGTAATTATTATCATTTTTTTAAATATAATATAGTTTAAGTTAAAAGATTGGGATTTATTGGAGATTGAAGATGAATAAAATAAGATCAGAGTTGCAGTCATTGATTAGCGGTGGATGGCCTTAATCGTACCCTGAGTTAATGCATATCTATGGCAGCTGACGATGGCCGGAAAATGATGGTGTCGGCAATAATTGAAGTTAAGGGAATATATACAGTATTGGGACTTCAAATTTGGTGCGTATAGATAAATTAGGAGCATGTTAACAGTTAACTATATTAACCGCTGAAAATGAAGACTGTAATAAGAGACAACATATAAATGGAGGTACTATATTTATCATTTAATTGTAATGTACCAACTGAAACCCTCGTGTGGTTCACATCACTTTCCTACTTGACGGTGTGCTAAATCCAATATGCTTCATGAATATCTTCAATCACCCCTGAATCATATGAAAAAAATATAGTATCAAATTTTCAGATTTTTCACTTTTTTTTTAAAAAAAAAAAAAATCTACATTACAATATTTTAATTTTTCTAAAAATTCTTAAGGAAAATGAAGCTGAAAAGCTTAATTATTTTCGTTTAGGTGTATATGTTATCCCATACTGATTTGGGATAAGCTGTTAAATAACATATAAGCAACGTTTAACCCTTGATTTAGGTTGTGGGGGTGAACTATGCGCAGACTATTTTATTAACATGATATGCTTAATTATCTTAAACTTTTGATTTCATTTTTGATGATGCAAATACTCAACCATTAAGCTGGTAATTCGATTGCATTATAGTGTAGTGCTTTGGTAATAATTAAAGTGATTATTGGTGAAATAATACAAGTTTAGATTAGATGGCATGAATAGTTTCTAAATTAACTTTAAGGCATTGCACTAATTATACTTGTCTAATTCAATTAAATATAAATTTAAACTATAAAACATTTACTTTATCCAATTTGGTGTATGGTTTTGATTCTATGTCATATATTCGAGTCCAACCTAGAAATTTCGTTTTAAGGCATAATGCACGAGATTGGAATGGGAACATGTTTGGAATTAAGTTTTAGAAAAAAGAAGAAGAAGAAGATTAATAGCGTGAAGCGAATCAAAAGCTGCCTCCTGCAACTTGACTTTGATAATACAAGCAGCTGTTAAAAGATAGAGAGCAAGTTGCGAATTTGTTTTTCTCTATCTATTTAATCTCTCTCTCTCTCTCTCTTAAAATATATGAAAAAGAAAAAGAAAAAGAAAAAGAAAAGAATGCGCAAGTTGCAGAATGCAGACTATAAAATTATTATTATTTTTCTGTTAGTCTTTGGTTTTTATTTTAATTTTTTTATATTTTGAATAGGACGGTTTTGCAAGTTGCAAGTTGATATGCAAGTGGGAAGGGGCTGCTTTTAATGTTCTCGTGTACTAGGGTCTACCTTTTTTGAATGCGTTCACGCCACCACCCATTCTTAATTCATTCTCTCTGCTGCTTCTTCTTCTGAATATAGGAATTTCAATTTCTTGTTTTGGACATTATGATAAAAACTCTTCAACTGTAAATTCAAGATTCAGAATCCAAAACTCGTATCACTATTGGCCAATTCCAGTCAATCGTCCATTTCTATGGTATGGTCCATCTCTTGGCAGATAAATTTAGCTTTGTTCACGTTACATCTTTAAAATTTTGCATGTGTTTATTGTACCAGAAAACAAACACTTGTCTCCCTCGGCAAGTTGATTTGTTAGAAGCATAATAAAAAAATGTTAACGTTTTTAAGTTTTATAAAAAAAAAAATCAATCACTAGTGAGCTTTTAACGTACTAAAAATTTCTGAATTAGATTCTTCAAAGAAAATTATACATGGCAGGCTCTTAAAAATAATTTAGGATTTGGAATTAAAATTTAAACTTATTAGGATTCTAGAGTTTTTGGGTTATAAGCTTAGAATTTACTATTAAAAACTCCTACCGCAAAACTCCTCGGTACTATTAAAAACTTGGAGCAAAAATGATTTGCAGAAGAAACTAAAAAAGCATACGTAGAAGTTATGTGCACAAAACTAAATTTAACACATGGTGCTTCTAGTTCTAGACATAATACCTAATGATTAAACAGTAAAGACGGGTAAAATATTCCAACTTCCAAGTTTTGCCGGAGGGAATGGTACGTGGGAGATTTATCCATTTATAACAACTCCTCCAACTTAAAAAACAAGAGAAAAAAAAGCCTTTTACATATAGCATTATAATGTATTTGATAAATTTTACAGTTGATTGAGATTTCGAAATCAATGCTTACTCGATATTAGAGAAGGGAACGGTTCACGATTTTAATTGATTTAGAACCGTCTATGGTCAAAATTAAATGAGTTTATTTCTCTATTACTGTATCATTACTACTTAGAGATGAATATAATGCCACCGTATTAAAACATATCTAAATGTTGACATGATAACAAATTTGAAATGATTAAATGATGTCATTATCATTAATTGGTTGTGCTGTGATGTACTAATGCCAAACGAGATGAGAGATTCTTAACTAGTAGAAGAAATATCTAAATCTAACTCTCTCTTCACCATTACTGGTTTCCAATGTTTGGTTTTTGGTTGCCTTCTTTTAGCTTCTTATCAAATTTTATAATAACTTACAGGAAAACTAACTGTTTATTAGTTGGTGAAGTTTTCACATCTATGGTTGCCAATGAGCATGCATCTTTAAGTCTTAACTAATCTAACAAGAATAGTTATTATCCACAGGGAGTTGCAGGCTAATTTTGAGGACCCATCTTCGAGGAATCAGATAGTTTCAAGCACATCACCAATGATATATATGCAAAGAAATGAAGGGGAGCGTCTGAAGTTTGAAATTAGAAGGTGTTGAGGAACCTTCACGGCAATGCCTATGGCCTGTGGATGTGGAGATATTAACCACTGCGACCTAATATCAACTTATTTTATTTGACCATAGTCTTTTCAACAACTAAAAAAATACAAGTAAAATAGTGCATTACAGCTTGTGCATTGTTGAAGTTACTAAATAATCCCTCAATATGCACATATAATCATCCAGTATCTTTCTATTACCAAAATTATTTTAATATTCTTTATAACAATTTGACCCAAAGCTCTATATATATCTCCGGACCAAGTTTTGGATCTCTTGAGATGGGATATACATATGCTGGCTGTAGCTTGACCACCCGCGCTGAGAAGTTTAAATTTTCTCTTTTGGGGTTTTATCTCTTCCTTTGTATTTAAAGAACAATCTATTAGTCGTCAAGATAAAAACACAACTACAATTTTTAAAATATGCATTTATTAAGAATAAAAATATTTATATTTTATGTTTCAAAAGAGATTTATATCCATTTCATGGAAAATGTATCACTATATACTTAAAACTATTGATTCATGAGTCATCAAATCCTAAAATTGAGTCATTTAATTCAAAACAGCCGAATTTTCTCCATGGGCGATGACTAATGAGTTCTCATTGGTGGTTAATCATTTTCCTTCTAAGTCAGTTTTCTTTAAATTTTCTTTTATTTTTTATGATATTTTTTTTTATTTAGGCTCTTATATAGAAAGAGTCGCAAATCTCATGCACAATAAATTTAAAGGTGATCATATTGGACTTTTAAAAAAATTATAGAGCTATGGCCATAAATGATCATCAAATGAAGCAAGTGATTGCCTATATCACATATATTATGCTTTATCAACTTGATTACATATTTCAAATTAAAATTATCTTCTTTTATTATTTATATAATTAATTTATTACATTTTAGATAAAAATATAGAAACTTGTTGGTCAAAAAAATCTATATTGTAAATAATTTGGTTCACGTCACACATAGACTAAATCTGGGCAAGTTTTATCCCTCAGCATGGGTTAAAATATCTTAAGCTTGATTCATTAAACATACTAACCTAAAAGAACCAAAAAACCAAAGAGATGGGTATTTTGGTAAAGGACTAATGAAGTTGGCCAGTGATTGGCCAGATATCCTCCAAATGGACTTGTATCGATCGCTTTCAGCAAACAACCATGAAATTCACTTCCACTACTCCTAATTTTGGATAGCACAGCCATGAAAACGATTTCTAACAACCTTAGCCTTTTTACAAACTTCAAAAATGGAGACAACATAACAACACACCATCTCATTTCAACTTCAATGGCAAAGAAACTACACCAAATCCAAATGGTTCCTATAGCTCCTTCTAGTTGGGCATGGGGAATAAGAACCACTTTCCAATCCCTTGTTGCCCTTCTGGTTGGCGCCGTCATAATCGCCGTTTATCTAACCCAGAACAGTGAGGATCTTATAGAAGATAGAACTACGAGTAAAATTAGTTCAGGTGACTTGTTGTCTACTTGCAATTTATTTTCCGGCAAGTGGGTTTTCGATAACAAAACTTACCCTTTATATAAAGAGAAGCAATGTACTTTCATGTCCGATCAGTTGGCTTGCCAGAAATATGGAAGAAAGGATTTGAATTACCAGAACTGGAGATGGCAACCTCACCAATGTGACATTTCAAGGTTTTTTTAATTAATTTCTATATTTCCACTTATTTTGAATTTGTCTGATATATTATATATGTATATATGGTGACTGATTATGTTTACAGGTTGCGTACGTTTTGGCTATCTTTTTGAGTTCTTTTGGAATTTTCTTTTTTGTATTCTTCTTTTGCTTAACAAATAAAGGTTCAATGCCACGACATTGCTGGAGAAGCTAAGGAACAAGAGGCTTATGTTTGTTGGGGATTCGCTAAACAGGGGACAATGGATTTCGATGCTTTGTCTTGTCGATTCCTCCATTTCGCCGGATCGAAAATTCATGCACCAGAACGGTTCATTGGCCACCTTCAAGGCTATTGTAAGTATTAATAGAGTTGTTGCGTTCTAATAAACAACTAGGTTTAGATGGCCGAGGTGCTCTAAGGGGTCGGATTAAGGTTCTGGTCTGAAAGTGCGTGGGTTTTAAATGCCACTCCCAACAATTAATTTTTTATTTTTATTTTTCAATTGGGCTTATATCTGAGTTCAGTAATCTCAAGGTTTAATATTTAAATAATAGGCTTGCCTCTGGGCCCACCCTAACTAAAAATTTGAAATTTGCTTTTTTGTTTTTATTTTTGGTAATAAATAATATTAGAAAAAGGGAAAATAATAATACGGTCCTTAAATTTTAGCCTAATTAATAGTTGAGTACCTCTATTATCAAAAAGTAATTATGAGATCCCTAAATTTTGATTCTGCCAATGGTTTGATCTTTCCGTTCAAAACACCTGCTTTTAACCATTAAATTAATACGTAAATACGAAAGTACCCTTTACCAACTTCACTTACAGCCTTGGTCTTCAACCACATCTATAACATCACCCTCTACTTCAGTTTGGCCTCCAATATGGCTTCAATCTCCATTTTTGTGATAAGGGAGTTAAATAAGTTTTTTGATTATCATAAAATCCTCTTTCTTCAGCTTCGAAGCATCAATCGACGAATAAATTAACAATCAAATCAAATTCAAAAGAAATAATGAAGACAATTAAATAAGATATTTTTTGCTTTGTCTTGTGGAATATTTCAGCCTGGATGTGGAGGTTGCTGATCAAACAACTTCCTTGGTTGCAAGGTGGTAAGGAGGTTTTATTCACGGTTTCTTTAATAATGACAATATGAGCATAAAAACCAAAATAATTAAAATCAAGAAAATAATCAAAACCAAGCAGTTTTTCTACTATTTCTGTAAGATCGAAGTATGACAACAATGGAGGTAAGGATGATATCGGCAAGATCTGATTTATAGGGATTCGCTGCGATACCGACGGATATGGTTGTGCAGTCGTTCTTGCAGCGCAATATTCATCGCTTTTTGTTCAGTAGTAGGAAATGGTCGCAGTTCAGTTATCGTCAGGAAGATGACATTGTTATGCTTAGAGTGCTTATTGGTGGATTTAAATTTTTTCTCTTTCATTGGACTCACTTAAATTGTTAAGATTAACCAGAAAAGTATACAATTTTAGACGTAGGGATAAAACCGTTAACAGAATCAAAATTTATGGATCTTATAATTACGTTTTGGAAATAGAGGTTCTCAAATGATAATTAGACCAAAATTTAGGGAGGCGATTATTATTATTTTCTTTTAGGAAAATGATTAATTTATCTAAAAAAAGGGCCCACCCTATTAACAATTTGAAATTTGTTTTTTCGCTTTTATTTTTGGGAATGAATAATGTTAGGAAAATGATCAATTTATTTCCAAAATTTACATTTTAAATTACCTTAATACCTTTCTACTAATTTTCTACCAATATACTCTATAATTACAGTGGGATTTAATAAATAAAGGTAAAAAAAAAAAAGTAAAAACATAATATGTTTTCTTGAATTTTGAAAAATGACACTTAAACGAAACTGACGGTTTGAGTGGAAGAAGAGAGTAATGCTATATATTACACAATGTAACTCATTTTTAATGTCAATTAATAATGTAATCTAGGACTACAATGCCACAATAGAGTTCTACTGGGCTCCATTACTAGTGGAATCAAATTCGGATGATCCGGTAAACCACCGGGTACCTGATCGGATAGTAAGAGTTCAGGGAATTGAAAAACATGCTAGACATTGGACTGACGCAGACATTCTCGTTTTCAATAGCTACCTTTGGTGGAGAAGATCCAATATGACAGTTCTGTAAGTACAAATTTATTCTTCTTCTTCTTCTTCTTAATTTCTTAATTAAAATTATTTGATAACTGTTTATTATCAAATATTACTTTATATGGCAATTTTGATCACAGGTGGGGATCATTTGAAAGCCCAGATGGAATTTACAAAGCAGTACAGATGCCACGTGTTTATGAGATGGCTTTGAAGACTTGGTCTGATTGGCTTGAAGTCCACATTAATCGAACCAAAACTCAATTGTTCTTCATCAGCATCTCTCCAACTCACCAAAAGTAAGTTCCTTAATTCTTTAATTTTCAGATCTTCTCCATTTTCTCAGATCTTCTTCAACTCACCAAATGATTTTGACTTTGCAGGGCTGCAGAGTGGGGCGGAGCTGAAGATGAAAACTGCTATGGTGAAACAGAAGAAATAAAGAAACAAGGATATAGAGGACAGGCAACATGTCCAGAAATGATGGGTATAGTGGACAGAGTGTTAGATGACTTAAAAACAAGAGGCTTAAATGTCCAAATGATTAACATCACACAGTTATCAGAGTACAGAAAAGAAGGTCATCCATCTATATATAGAAAGCAATGGGAACCATTAACAGAAGAACAAACATCAAACCCTAAAACTTATGCAGATTGTATACATTGGTGCCTACCTGGAGTTCCTGATGTTTGGAATGAGCTTCTTTATGCTCACATCATTAATCTTTGACACAAATTTAATCCAATGTACCCTTTAAAATATTTCAGGGAACCCCACAAATTTGGGTATTTATATACATATGAGTGAAAAAATTGAATGTGCCTGCCTTGGATTAGTTTATATTTTTTATATATCTTTATCCATATGTTGATCAAAATATTTAAAAGAGGGTAGGAAAATTTATCAAACTCCAAGGGAAAAAGAAACAAAAGGTCTGGATAGTTTAGAAGTAATTGCGCAGATGTCTTCCATGGTATTTTTATTTTAATACAGTGGCAATAATCTGACTTGTGTGCAACCATAGACTATGAGAATGATGATGTTCTCGAAAGAGTTTTCTTCTTCACGAAAGTAAAATGAACTAAATATTATATGTATATTTTTGAAATAAATTTAATTGTCTTTTTTTTTTGTTTTATATTTAAATTCCTTACCAAATTTAGCTATTAATTATGAATTAAGTATCAATTCTATAAATGAGCTTAATGTAATCTTGGCCAATTTTGATATATTGCTTAAAAAAGGAAAAAAAAATCCAAAAGAAGAATTCCAAATCCCAATTCACTATGGTCAAAACCTTTCTTTAGCAAAATTGGTCATTTTTGACATCAGACCGACAAAAATTCAGTGTATCATAAATGCCTAATCTCATCTTCATCACAAAATCTGATTCCCTAACTACACATCAATGGTCAAAACCAACTGTGCAATCTGTGGGACCAAATCCTCCGAACATTACTGCGAAATAACAGTAGTAATTACCATGCCATCAACGAGAAAGGCATATTGTTCCTCAGTAGTCTCGGCAGCACCTTATCATAGACAAGCACCAAAATAGCATAATACGCAGGTCAAAACCCCTGTAATATTCTACTTGGTCAGTCATTTTCCACTGCCAGTTAAAAAACGTCTCTATTTCAATGATTCTTTAATTTTTTTAGCAGCAGAGCTTAACTAAGTAGATTTGCATCTTCAAAGTTCAGCTTCGTTTCTCTGCAAACGATGATGCAGAGATGGAACAGAAAAAGATCTCATTTTCCTCTATTAGCATTTGTCTTGCTTGTCTTTATTGGTTGTTCAATTCTCTATAACGAAAGTAGCATTCAAGAAATCCAAGATAGCGAAGTTCATGTCTCTCATAAACAAGAAGAAACTGCATTTACTTACATAAAACCAAATCTTGGTACCCATTCCGGGCGAATTCCAGGTATACTTCTTCTTCTTCTTCTTCTTCTTTGCAGGGATTTATCGAATATTGGGTCTAACTTTTTACTATGTGCTTCTCTTTCTTTGTTATGTGTTTCCTTTTCTTGGGTTGAATTTTTTAAGTTCTTCAATTTCTACTTTTAGGATATAATTATGATCTTTTTTCTTTTTCTGGGATTTCAGAGTTTCTGGATAGGTTTGTTCGATGCAACTCGACTAGGGAATACAGTGGTAAGAAAATCCAGTGGGTTGACCCGAAACCGAAAGTGGGTCGCCGTGGAGAAAGTTTAGAGAGGTGTGATGTGTTCTCAGGCAAATGGGTATTTGATAATAAATCATATCCTCTTTATAATGAATCGGATTGTCCGTACATGTCTGACCAATTGGCATGTCACAAGCATGGAAGGTCTGATTTGGGATACCAATACTGGAGGTGGCAACCTCACAACTGCAATATGAAGAGGTATTTTTTGCTCTATTTTATTCTTCTATATCTATAAAAGAAACTCTTTTGATCTATGAACATCGGTTTCTCTATTGTTTAGTTGGCTTTGTTTGCTCTTATGAACTGGAATTTTTGGAAGTCAATCTATTAGAACTAAATGCAGCCTTATTATGTTTGCTCAAAAATGATATACAGCTTTTTATGAATTATGAGGTTTTCTGTTAGACAGGACTTTTGCTTAGTTGTCATTTGTCCCCATTTTATCTCATTTTTTTGTGCTATAGATGGAATGTGAATGAAATGTGGGAGAAGTTGAGAGGGAAGAGACTGATGTTTGTGGGGGATTCACTAAATAGAGGGCAATGGATATCAATGGTGTGCTTGTTACAGTCGGTGATTCCCGCAGATAAGAGATCTATGTCACCAAATGCTCCTCTTACCATTTTCAGGGCAGAGGTAAGGCAAAAGCAGTAGTAGAATAAATCATAAACCTTATCATGCAGTCACAGGAAGGAAATGCATTTGCAATGCGTTTCTTCACTATTCTCTAAGAAATCTTTCTTTAATGTCTTGTGTTTATGTAATTTGCAGGAGTACAATGCCACTGTGGAATTTCTCTGGGCTCCACTTCTTGTTGATTCTAATTCTGACGACCCTGTGAATCACAGATTGAATGAGAGGATAATCCGTCCTGATTCAATTCTAAAGCATTCAGCAAAGTGGGAGCATGCTGATATATTAGTATTCAACACATACTTGTGGTGGAGACAAGGCCCCGTTAAGCTATTGTGAGTACATTTCCATTCAGATTTCATTTTATGATAATTAGGTTTAATGAAGTGATTAAAATATTCAGACTTGGCATTTTTATCCTGCCTCATAACTTTTTCAGATGGAGTGATGAAGAAAATGGAGCTTGTGAAGAATTAGATGGATTAGGAGCCATGGAGTTGGCCATGGGAGCCTGGGCTGACTGGGTAGCTTCTAAGGCTAATTCCCATGAGAAACAGATTTTCTTTGTTACCATGTCTCCAACACACCTCTGGTGAGTATGAACCTGTGGTATGATGGTCTCAAATACTGGTTCTCAGGATATAGCATCTCCGGTTAATATATAGGCTCAAGACTTAAACAGGACACCAGTAATGACTGGTTGTATGATTCTTGCTCCCTGTTTATGAGCTTGAGTTTAGTTTAAAACTTATAGCTTTAGGAGTTGGGTCTATCATGAATCACCTCTTGCTTGCTGTTAAACATTTAGAAGTCCTATATCTTCCTTTTTTTTTTTTTGAATCATGTGCTGGTTTAGATTGTCATTTTAACTTTTTGTTAGGCTTAATTTGGGAATATCATGCTTAGTGCTTGAAATACAAGAGGCTTTCCAAAATGCATCTTCTTCTAGTTATTGATAGCCAGCTTTAAACAAACAAATCGTTTGTGAATATTTTCTCCATCTACATCCCTGTTGTCTTGTATAGTAAGCATTTAGCTAATAATTAGTTTATTTTATTTCATTGGAATATAGAAACAAAAGCTACAAATTTGAAAGATTGAAACTTTCCTTTTCAACATTCTCACATGCATCCATACCAAAATCTATATGAACTTCAAATCAGCGTGACATGACAAAGAAATGATAAAAAAACTCGGAAAAAAGAAATTAGAATTCTCTCACCTAATACCTATAGTAAAATTATAATTCATGATTGTCAAACTTTTAGCATGCTGATTGCCATATCCAGTTAATGCTACTATTGTAGCTCGTGGTCACCATTTCCTGAATCCATCGGGAACCATGCTGTTATGTTTTCATCAAACTAAACGATTTTCAAAATTCAGGAGCCGGGAATGGGAGCCTGGAAGTGAAGGAAATTGCTACAATGAGAGGACCCCCATTGACTGGGATGGCTACTGGGGTAGTGGTTCCAACTTGCCTACTATGCGCATGGTAGAAAAGATCCTGACAAGATTGGGTTCAAAGGTTTCTGTTCTCAACATCACTCAGTTATCAGAGTATCGAAAGGATGGCCACCCTTCTATCTACCGAAAATTCTGGGAGACATTGAGCCCCGAACAGCTGTCCAAACCAACGACTTATTCTGATTGCATACATTGGTGCTTACCTGGTGTACCTGATGTATGGAATGAATTGGTATTCCATTTTTTGTAAAGCAAATATATCCTTTGAGCTATTAGCAGTTTCAAATAGCAATAGCCAGGAATTTTAGTGAGGCTCATGTGCATTCCTGTTGGCAACTAGCAATTGCTGCTTTAAATTCTTGACTCTTTAGAAAAATTGATTGCAAAGAACAAGTGATATTCTAGTGAGCAAGTGGTTATAGCCAAGGAAGAGTTCTTGTCCTGTACAAGTACCGATCGTGTAATATACATAGAGTGGCTTACACAAACAAAAATTTTGTTTGATTCAGAGAAAGTGCATATAACTGGTTTCTGCTGGATTATTTATTTAAATTTCAGATGAATATGGAAATTAATTGCCATGGCTGAACCCATATACCATATTTGGGTGCCAAAATATCTCTCTTTTTCAATTTGAACTTGAAAGTGACAATGAAAGTGAGAGGTTAAGATCATTTCCTTCTTGTCCATGGCACTCTAAAGTTGATGAACTGGATGGCAGTGCTCCATATTCTGAACCCACATGAAAATCCTGTTTCACAATCTTTTTGAAGAAAAAGAGAGGTTAGTCCAGTATAACTTAAAAAAGAAAAACAGTCTTCATAGTTCTTTTTGAAAAAAAAAAAGAGAGGAAGAAATACTAAACAAAAACAAGTATATATTATTAAAAAAAAAAAAAAGGATGATAATATAATTCTGGATGAGCTCACCTTCCTAAAAAGAGTGCCATCTTCTTCAGCATGCCAACCAGCTTCTTCACAAAGAGCTTTGAGTAGGTCATTACTGTCAGCATGTTTAGGAAGTTTGTAGTTTCCATGCTGTCTAAGTCCTGCAAATATCTTACGAGCCACTGCTCGTCTTCTTCGCTCTCTTTGCTTGTTGTTTTGGCGTTCTCTATCAGTAGGAAATCTATATTTGCTAACAATACCATATTTAGTACTTCTATTTACTATCCAAGGCCCTTTCGTACTCTTAATACAGCCCTTGATTATTATCTTCTTCCCATCGTTTGCCATTTTCAATTTCTTTCTTAATCCTACTGTTCCTTCTTTCTTGAGAAGCTGTGCTTAATATATAGTGTGCCTGAATTGAAGTTGCTATGGTATGTGTGACCAAATTTATCAAAATGGGTTCTAGTGATTGTAAGCTTCATTTTGATTTTTCATGGATATTTTTTTAATTAGGTTATCTTTTGCGACAGCACCAATCAGTAAATTATGCTTTACAATCAGAAGAATAATTGTTTTTTCTATAGACACATGAGATTCCATGCAAAGTGCAAACCCTGTACTTGTTCTTTCAGAGAAATTCCATTCTGTGATAAAGAACTAATGATTTCTTTGTCTCATGCCAAATTTTAAACACAAAACAAAGAGAAGAAACAAACAAAAGGAGGAAATTAAATCACAAGTTTTAGCATTACCGAAACAGGCTTGTTTCAGTTTGACCCAGAAGGGTATTTTATTGAGATTAGCTAAAAAATGCTTTAGAAGTTCTTTGTAAGGGACCAATGGACATTTTGATATGATCTTTTGGAAGATAGAAATGGAGATGAAAAGCTTTAAGGCAAGAATGCCTTGTTTCTAACATTTGGATGCAATACTGGCATGGAAATTTGAGGGATCAAATAAGATACTGTAGGGACAAACATGCACAACCAGCAGCAACTGAAAAGGAGCCACTTTATGCCTTATAATAGGAGAAACTGATGCTAATGATCTGTTGCTTTACTTTATGGCTACAGATCGTATTTGTCACAGAAGATGCTGCACTGTAGGATTTAATTGATCAATGATTTTCTTTTTTTAATTATAATAAAAAATATATTTTTTTATGCTTTGTCTTCTTGCCATTATGAACTCCAGCGGATACAGTGATAAAAGATTTATACAGCCGAGCCCAATTAGTTTAGCATTGAGGTTTAGTTGTTATTATTGTAGTAACAAATCTAACACTTTGTTGGTTAAGGTTAAGCTGCAAAATGAGGGCAACTCTCCAGAGACTAGGGCCTAGGGGTTGGGGGTTATTTGGATGATACAACAGCACTTCTATTTTCACAAATAGAAATTTTCTTTTAATAGATTTTCAACCAGCCAAAATCAAACAAAAAATTGAGGGTATCATTTCTACATATTTCACAAACAAAATAAAAATCAAATTGCCATCAAATAATTCAGTATACTCGTTTTTTCCTTCACTAGATTATCATTTCAAAGACATGTCTTCAGACATTGAACGGCTTTTTACGCAAAATCTTTCCCCCAGGTCCAACAGTGTTGCATTTCTTCATTCTGGAAACTTACTAGAAACATCTATAATTAGATATTAGAAACTCAACAGTGAACATTGATTTCTACAGCTCAATAGTTAGATTATTAGACATTAGTTTCTCAAATGTGATAATTCTTCTTGACCTTTAACGAGAACAAACACCAAAGCTTCCCTAAGCTGCTACAACACCACATATACCACGTATAGTTTTGATATTCTCACGTAAATTATTTTCATCCAATGGAGTTAAGGTCCGAAATTTTGCCAATTGGCATGCAACATTTATGGCCTTTACAATGTCCCTGCACAGGATCCCAAAATAAATTGCTGAAGGTATCCAATCTTCAGACACATGGGAAAAATGCGCAAACTATATAATAAATGATAAAAGGAATCAGTATTGGTGATCGAACAAACATGTAAAATAAATGAAATAATACATGAGCAGATGTATCAATTGTCTGAAACTACCCACAGTACAATGCGAATCAACCAAACCACCGATTGAACCAAACTGCATTAGTAGGTTTGGTTGATTTCAATGCCTTTTTTTGATTCGGCTTGAAATTTTATAAACCACCATTATAAATTTGATATGTACAAAACAAACCAAATTGAATCATGAACAGCCTAATAAAAACCACCACTAGAATCTTCCATTAGCAACTTTTTCCTTCTGTAAATTGCAACACGGCATTTCTAAACGGGGTTCTGTTAAATAGCCTGAAAAAAATTTCATTTTTTTCTGAATTCCATAGTTACAAAATAAAATTGGCTCTTGATCATTTACCCATCTTGAATATTTACAAACCGTTGAGCGCTGGGATTGTACAAAATTGGTGGACGTGCCTCCATCTCCATGACCAACTTGCAAATGCCAACTGCATTGTACACATGCTTCTCCAAAGTCCTGTAAGGTGAATGTCAATGATTATCAGAAAGTATGATAAGTTTAAGCTGACAACTCGGTCATAAACCAATGTCATACCATAAATATGTGAATAGCTGGTTTGATTTGAATGGATGTTTTTGTCACAACTGCTACTGCCAACACCGCATTCCCTCTTTCTTTCCATGTCAATTAACTATGATCAAATGACAATTCCATACATGTACATTGCTGGTGACATCTTCGACTACATAAGTAGCCGAGACAAGAAAATAATTTTGAACAAAATCATCAATTATCATACAGGCTAAAACTCTCTCATCAAAGTCGAGTTATAGAGGATTGGATTAACATATAAAGAAGCTTACTTGTCAGGCAGTCCAGTGTGCCCTTTAGCTTCTAGCCTTTATGATCACCAACAATAAATAGAACTTTCTCTTTGAGTTTGTCAATAATCTGCATGAAGTAATGCAAGAAACATAGTCAATGAAGAGCAGGCATCATTACAACAAACAAAAAAGATGACAATCCAAATTCTGAAGATTGTGCACCAAGCTAGACGTTTTCCCCCAGCTTTGAGCAGAAGCAGCAGCAATTTTAAGGTGAGAACAAATTGGGGAATCAAAACTGAAAGAATAAGTCGAATTTTCTGTTGCTTCTGCTATCCAGAGATGATTTATTTGGTCCTTTGCTTTCTTGATGAGATTAAAGAAGCCAACCTGCAAAGGTCATGCATGGAAGCTCTGTCAAGCAGACAAGCAAGGAACTTTTCAAAAAAAAAAAAAAAAAGGCTAAGTAGCTTCTTTTTCACAAGTGGAGAGGAGCATGAAAGCAGTAATCATTTAATAGCATATTTGAGTAGATGTCTGTCCTCAGATAACTTTTGAGAACAAGTCCTTTTTCTTCTTCTATATAACTTCATTAATACAACTTTAAAATCTTACAAAATAGGAGTAGCAATTTATATAGAAGAAGAAAAAGGACTTCATGTAAGCAGAATAGCATGGCATGCATAGGCAAAGAGTCATCTAATTGGTTTCTCAATTATATTTAGTGGATTACTAGGCTGCAGTCATCCAATGATCAGTTTGTCAGATGGTTGTTTGACGTTTATATCCAACCAAAAAAGCTTAATTTCAGAGCACAAAGGAACACTGCATAATTAATGAAATACCAATTTGAATATTGGAGATCCTCCAATTGAACAGACTCCTTTACCATAAGAATTCTGAGTTCTATTATAGTTACTGAACACAGTCAAAGAAGAATGCATTGATTGTTAGAAGATTTTATCTAGTGTGAGACATTACAGTTAGACTGATCCATATGTCCCATTTGGAAATTATTACTGAACAATGCTTGTTACTTCCGCAATGTAAAGCCTTTAAAGGACAGTAAAATGAACTAAATGCACTCACAGCAGATCCTTCAAGATTATAGTTGATTGGGGTGAATGAATCATCATCTATATAAGGTGAGCAGAAGCTGATGGCAAGTAAAGAATTTGATAATTCTTCAGACCATAAGGCAGAAATGGAGCAATCAGTAACAAAAACCCACTGTTTCTTCCACTGAGCAGTTGTATAAACCTCTCCCACATACACAACATATGCAGCAATATCAAATTCACTGCATAATGTAAAGAACATATATGAGAATAATAGTAAGTTCACAAGTTCTTAGATTCTTCTAAACATGGAAATCTTAGCATTAACAATGGCATGAATCACCTGGAAAGAGGAACTTCACCCAAATTTGACATTAATACTGATACTCGAGGATTGAAAAAAGGCCTATAAAAGGATAATAATTAGCTAGATTAAATTACTGATAACTGATGAAGCAAACAGAGACTTACTGGAAGTTTTTGATTGCTAGGGGAGACAAGGGTTCCCATTTGGTCGTAGATCCTCTTGCTTGCAGGTAAAGTGTATTCGAGTCAGCGTTCACTGGTAACAATCCTGCTATTGCATAGGCCTGTCCCTCAACCAGCTCATTTCGCTGTTACAAGTGCAAGTAAATTCAAAAATATGCAAGGAACAAAACTTGAATATAAATTTTCTCAATATCCAATAGGCCAGCATAAACATAAAAGAAACTAAGGAAGCTGAAGGAATAACATAGTGTTCAGATATATATGCACAAAATATAGGCATACAACCTCACACACTGTGACACAGATAGAGAAAGAGATGAAGGTATAAAAAAATAAGAAAAAAAAAACAACACACTTGGATTCACCTGTTTCTCTGTCGGGCTCCAAATTGTTATTAAGCCTTCTTTTGCAACAGCTTTACCATGATAACTAGTTAAACCAACCACTCTAACCCTCAAGAAGGGGGTTACTTCTCTCTCCTGTATGCCAGCATCTTGTAAAGCCTTCTTAATTGCTTTATCCATGTCCAATTGCTTAGTTGCCTACGATCAGCTCTGCGGTGGTTAATGATCACCTTGCAAATAAAGACCAATGCTTGAAGTAAAGCATCTGAAACACACCTCTAGTTTTGCTTGGTAAGAAGCAAATGAATTTAGCTGCTCTGGACTCATCTCTGCCATTATAACTTCTGGTTCTGCCGCTGTCTCAAGTATCTTCAAGATTTTAGCTCCTTCTTCACTATCACTGTCATTATAAATATGGGACCCTTTTCTTTGGTACTCGGAAACAATGCCTTCCACAACTGCAGAATGTCTGCAAGCTCAAAAATGAAGAGGCATGGAAAGCATTAGTTGTTTTGGGCTATGAAGTACATTGATGTAAGTTCACACGCCACCAACACCAAAAGATGCATCATTATTACTTTGAACCATCTAAAAGAAGCTGACTTCCTCCCTAATTACTTTAGGTATGAAGGCACTGGTAGCTACTTGGTAAACAATTAATCAACTCAGTTTAACCTTCTGGGGTTGAGTGATCAAGTGCATCTCCAATGATACGACCAATTTTGTGGAATCTAAAATCTTTTACAATCTACACACATGAAATTTTACAATCTGCACATTCTTTCACTTCATTTCATTTCATTAATTTTACACATGTTACTCATCCTTAATAACATTTGCATCCCAAGGTCTTCTTATATCTATGCATGGATAAGTTGTCAATCATGTAATTCTATATAACTTAGTATGGCATAATGTAAAAAAATAATGTAAGAAATCCTAGCTATGTCATGAAATTAACAGGTTCAAAATGCAATTTGCAACAATCATTCAACTAGATCATGCCATAGCTGGCCATAGAAAATCAAAAACCATTCAAAGATTCAAACCCTTAGAAAGTAAGAAGAAAATACTGAAGAAAAGAGAATATGCTAAGCGATCATGGTTTAATCCCCTTAGAGATAAAAAGTATCTGTAATGTAGGAGGTAGAAAAGCTAATTATAGTATAACTAGTCCAGTAGGAAAGTAGTCACCTCTGGTTGTACAATTGCATTGTTCTAGCCTCCATCCTCTCTGATCTCACAATAGATCCTCCATCTCTTAACCTAGAGAAAACAGAAAAAAGAAACCACTAAACTGAGCATGATATGCACATAAATTGAATGGGAAAACACTAAAACAGGACTAGCTGCAGATTACTTCTCCTTATATAGAATAGGGTATATTCGCGTGACTCCAACCAAAGTCCGAGGGATGGGACCACCATTATTTTTTATGCATCTAAAAGCCAAAGGAGGACCAACACCCTTGCCTGTAGAAAATAATCAAGAACCATGGATAAGGACTTAAGGAGACAAGAAAGCAGATAAAGTACAAATATGACAAATTGCTACAAATTGTGTGAGAAATGTAATTTATATAGTCCAAACAGTGCTTACAGAATCCTAGCCGATCAGCCCAATGAGCTCTATACGTTCCATTGATATGCAACAGCAGACTGACAGTCCTTGATGCCTGGAATTTAAGCCAGAACCTAAGAAAGCTCAGTCGTGAAATAAAGTAAAGATCCTAATTATTTAAACTTCGTTCAAACACCAAAAACTTACAAGAATCTCAAGGGGTGAAACAGGGCCAGCCCAGCCACACAATCTTGCTCCCCATATCTTCGAAATACATAAAGTGAAACTTTAAGCAATGGGCACCTTGTCCAAGATGTTCCAATCATAAAACAGAAATGAAAAGCAGAAGCAAACATCTTACTCGAATTTTTTGCCCCACAAAAAGTTTTCCAGCGGAAAGTTGCTTTGACAGTGGTATATCCAGAAGAGCATCTATTGAATACCTGGGAGCCAAAGATGCATTCAGACTAATAAGAAAATTGAAGGGAGAGTAATCATTAGCATTGGGACTTCCTTACCATCCATCTGTTAGTTCCATTCTTGCAGCATTACTACATTCATCCCCATTTAATGCCAGGTTCTCTATTTTTGGTTTACAACTGATGCAGATAGCTGAAATGCATAGAACCATCATAGAAGAAGGCGGTGAATCTCCTTCCAGAATTCTCTTAATTGCAGAACGGTGTCCATGATTCACTTCTCTTTCATATCTATGACATTAATCAAATATTTAATATTTTTATCATCATTTACTGTAACCTTAAAGTAAAACTACAGCTTAATGTAATTCAGATACCTATATTTCAGTTCCTCATGCACATTGGAGACTGTCAAAAACCTTGTGGCAGATTTCCAGGGATAACATCTCTCATAACAAGCAAGTTTCCAAATAATCCACTTGTAGTGATTCATAGTCCACCTTGACAGATAAATGGAATATAGAATGGGTTACTAAGTTGTTAATAAAACAAGTAAAGAGGGCAGCTTCATGGATATAAGAGTTACCAGTTAAACAGCTATTAATATACTCATGAACCATGAAATGGGCTTGAAGTTCCAGACTACAACAAGCAATTTATATCTCCAAATTTAGCTCTAGTATGCAAAGTCGCATAACTAGAGCAATCATAAATTGGCCAGGGATAAAGTTTAACTCTAAGTCAACAATTCATCATTATTCCAATATCCACAGACAAATTTGAGAGCAATAAACTGACACGAACTTCATGCTGAGTAACAAAACACACCTACAGACTAAGAAGACATGTAATTCAAAAATACACCACAGAAATATAGAAAGAGAAAAAATTGATGAATACTCTTTGGAAACACATTGTATCGAAGCTCCTGATTGAACCAACATATGGTATAAAGCTTCCGCTCCAATGCAGTTCACACCAGATTCATCACAGAATTTGTACTTCTCTGCAGCCTCTGGTTTGATCCACCCTACTTGGTCCGTGAAGTGCTCCAGCTACAAAAGAATTTCAGTGTTAGAGCAGAATAAACCTGCAGAAAGCAAGTAACAATGATCAAATCTGCATACCATGTTTTTATCTGAGGAAGGCACTTCAAAGTATTCCTTGATATACATTCTTGGAGTCCGAAAAGGATATCTAGTAGAAACTGTTCTTCTGCAGCAGGAATTTTCAGATGATGAAGTAGATAAACCTGCTTAAAAGCATACCGTAGTGAGAAGCACAAATTGTTTATGACCAAAAACAGAAGGGGTAAATAAAGAGGAGGTTAGTCCAAAAGCCCTTGTAAAGTTACCATTGAGAACGTATGAAACATTCTTGTTCAAAGGAATGATGAATTTGGAACTGCGGGGCCTCTTGAATTGAGAAATAGAAGTTCCCCTTCCAAGTTTCCTTTTTTCATTATTCACACGTCTGTGATTTGTGCAAGAGGTGCCCAGGGTATTTGAAATGTCAACCAATGGCCCACGAGATGATCTTGCAAGGGTGTTAATCCTCAGTCCATTACCAATTGCTGAGGAATTATCATCTAACATATCCAACCCACTAGACCCATTGCTTAATGGCTTCTGGATGGAAGATATAGTATTATTCAACCCACCAAACTTTTCATCATCCACTGCATCAAATTTCTTGATCAAGCTAATTCCTGAAATAATATTTTCTGAATTGAAGGATGACAGAACTTGGTTTGAAGATGATTTGAGAGGAGATACGAAGCTTTTTCCAATATGCTTGCTCTTTGCAGCACATGGATAAGTAAAAGCAGAGTGAAAATTTGCTTCCCTCATAACTGAAGCATCACTGAGTCTACATACTTTGGAAACTGTATGAGCTGGATCAACTGCATCATCCTCATTTAAGAAAGTTCCCAAGTCCGGGTCACCAAGAAGACTCTTTGCACGTTCCAATGCATCACTGGAAACAGATAAGGATCTTCCACCTGCAGTGTGGAATTTGATTGGAGGTGGTTTCGGCGTGGAATTATGTAGTTCAGATTGCAACAAGTTTGGAGTCACTGCATTTGATAGCTTGCTTCCAATTAAAGATGGTGTCGAAACTGACTGCATTCCACTATTGTCCATATCCTCTTTCATCCTCAAATATGATAAATCCTGCCACTCATTTTGTTCATTTACTTTAGGTGATTTCCTTGGATGTTGAAAGCCTTGAAAATTGGAGACATTATTGTTTTCCAAGCCTAATAATGTCTTGGCTCTGACCAAACCAGCTGAAGATATATTAACCGATTTCCCAGACCCAGTAGAGAAGAGGGAGTTGGTGAATCCACATACATTATCAGAATCCTGTTTTTCACCTGTCAAGCACACTGAAGCTGTGTAACCAAATTAGGGTTAATCTAATATCATGTACTATTAACACAAATATGATTGCGAAATATGAAATACAAGCAATCAATTATTTGCTAAGAAACCAGCAAAAGACATTAAGAGGAGGTATTCTGTATCCCATATTCCCATTATTCCAATTTCTAAAAGATAAAAGAATCAATTTGTGCTTCCTCCAAAAGTGCCAGTCTCAATTGATATTTCTCTTCATACTCTCAGAAACCAAAAAAAATAAAAAATTGAATATAAGCTAAGCCCAAATCTTAGTTCTTGTATCTACACTTTTATAGTCTGCTCAGCCTGCTTGGGAACAATCAAAGCATTTATGATAGTGTGCAAAGTTCTCAATAGTTAAAGACCCAAATTTTGATAACGGGCACAGTCATGTTACAAATAGACAAAAATTAGAGGCAGGCACCAAATTGCTAGGTTGTCAAAAAAAAAAAAAAAAAAAAAAAATCAATAGTTAAAGACCCAAATTTTGATAACGGGGCACAGTCATGTTACAAATAGACAAAAAATTAGAGGCAGGCCACCAAATTTGCTAGGTTGTCAAAAAAAAAAAAAAAAAAAAAAAAAAAGAAAAAAAAAAAGAAAAAAAAAAAGAAAAAAGAGTTAAAAAAGTTTCAACACTGAGTATGCAAATTAAGGAACTAGAGCAACAGAATGGACAGCAAATGGAAAAAGAAGGATCACGCACCTGAGCCGATGGCACCATCACCATTGCCAAGCACAGACAGGGCTTTAGCAATCGAAGACTGTTTCAATACAACCGACTTCCCTAATCCTGTTCGGAACATCGGCGCATGCCCAACATCTTCTTCTTCGCCGCTCTCTAGAAGTTTCGAACACTCTACAAAACAAGTAAAGCATAAAAATAAAAGTATAGATTTGCATCTACATACACCGTGTTTAATGAGAGAGAGACCTTGAAGTAGTAGATCGGTCATGGAAGGAAGACGATGAGCGGAATTACGAGGTTGAATCGGAGCGCCGTTGGGTCCATCTGCAGGTTTGCTAGGGAGGATTTGGCCGGAAATCTCCCACCGAAAATTATTTCCGGTGTCGGAGAATATCTGCCACGTCGACATTTGCCGGGATAGAATCAATTAGGCTATTGATAGCATCACTGGCTTTTCTGTATTATTTTTAGAATATTGTGCAGTTACAGAGAGCGGGAAAGTTAAATTTGGCGGTGGATAAGGAATTCATTACAATTTAGAAGTGATGGGCTGTTGTTTTGGGCTTTACATCCAATGAGGTTAGGCTAAACGGGAATCGACTTAAACTGAGCCTAGTGAACTAACCGAATTAAGCCCAAGTTAACGAGAATGAAATAACAAATTCAGAAAAATAGTAATAATTTGATTAAATGAACAATATTTATTGTAAAAACATGTGTTTTTAATATGTAATTTTAGCTTTTTTTTTACAATAATATTTTTTAAATAAATAAGAAAGAAACATACACAAGTCATACGACCATAACATGCTTGCACACTGAAATAAGAACTCTAAAATTTATTAAATTATTTTTAACCGTGTAATTTCCATTAAATTTGTCAAAATTGTTCTAAATTGTTTCACAAATTTACAAAATTAGAATTAATTTAACTAAAATAATATTTTTATTTACTATGAATGTGTGTTTACTTCATGCATTTTTTTCTGTCATCAAGATGTAAAAAAATAATATTTTCAGGAACAAATTTTGACTCAACGCAAGGGATGGATTTACAACTAGTAATAAATAATAATATGTAAAATGTTATATTTGATTAAATATTTATACTCAATAATATTAATATTTTCATACGTTTTTAAGATACCTTAATTTCAAAACTTAATTACTTTTTTCAAAATTATTATTAATATTATCATAATCAAAGTAGAATCGCTTGGCTTGGCTTCTTTCAACTTTCAGCGGAGGAGGACAACTCGAAAAGAGTAACTTCTTGTACTTTCTAGATCATACCTTATTTTTATCTATTTAAGAATTAAAAGGAAGAAACTAATGGACAAAATGAGATCACGTAACTTGAAGGTTAAGTTTAGCCTTAGGCATAAATAAATATATAAATATAAATATTAAATAATAACCAGACAACTTTGCAGATATCTAGAATTATTTTGGGGCATGTTACCAGAATTTGGCTCTTACAGACAATGGTGTCCATTCAACGAATCCCCTTTTTTTTATTTTTATTTTTATTTTTTTTTTTTTTTTTTTATTTTTGTCACGAGGAAAGATCACCACTCGCAAGCTTAATTACCTTTGTCGTATTAGCCAATTTTATTTTTATTTTTTTTTTTTTTTTTTGTTCACGAGAAAGATCACCACTCGCAAGCTTAATTAACTTTTCGTATTAGGCCAATTGTTTCTATTCCACCAAAGCCAAAGCATATGAGAGGTTCAAACGAAGGTAATATTTGAAATGGTCGAGTTGATTGGAGAGCATAATTTTATATCTATAAAGCTAGTAATATATGCATAAGATGGAAATTTACTTCTCTGAAAAGTCTATTTGCTTCTTTCTTTTATTTTTTTTATTAGTAGCAGTTGGATCAATAAAAATAGATTTCTTTTTCTATTAGCAACAGTTGGATCAATGAAAATAGATTACATTCTTAAGTGAATTTTACACATTGCGAAACTATTGCTATCAAATTATCAACAAGATTGATCTAGATAAAAAGGATTTAAAGTCCTTATGTAAGAGGTCGATCGAATCTTCGATTTTTATGAATGAAAAAAATTATCGCTAAATGTGTTTTTCATTATGAGCTTGATGCAGCACGGGAAAAGTTATACTTAATCTAATGTGCTGAGACACTTGTGATATAAACTAAAAAAAAAAATCTTAGTTTGAACATAGAAATACTTGTATAAACCATAAAAAGAAATTTAAAAAGCTTATATAATTTTTCCAAATTTCTTTAATTGGCTTAACAATTTTCATAAAATTTTATATTAAAAATTCTTGAAAGCAACCTAATTACCGAATTATATCTTAAAAATGCATAAATCAAAACCAGCTTTTCACTGGAAAAATAGATTGCTACAAAATAGTCACGATCGAATGGATGAAAGTAAGGTACACTAAAAAAATAATGGTACCGGTAGCATCTTGTAGTTACACCCCCTTAATAAAGATGTGGGGGCGCAGCACTTGATCCGGTTCTGGCGCTGGGTGCATAACTCGTATGGAACAGGATCAAAAATAAAAAACTTAAGATATGTCGGAATAGAGTGGGCCCCCTTTCATCCATGACCATGATGATCAGATTACACTCAAACAGCTACCAACAACAAATCCCTGGTTTGACTTTTTGACCTACAGTGTTGCCATTAGGACGCTTGACTTCCTTCTTTGGTCCACTTCATCATATTATATAAATGAAATAACCAACATTTTTAGCATAAAAAAATAATTCAAATAAATATATAATATATACTTTCGCACATATAATTGTAATAAGCGAGTTCAAAGGACTAATAAGAGTCGTGCTAATCAATTTCTCTATCATATAAATTTTCTCCATCACACATTTGTTGTTGTTCCATATTTGCGTTAATGGAATTAATTTATATTTAAATCAATAATGATATTCAGATGAAACTCACTCAATTAGAGCTAATGATTTAGTTGATTCGATAAATTTAGATGAAATTTTTTAATCGACTTGAATTCATTGGTTTTTTTTAATTAACTGAATTTAATCAAATAACATATTTAACCAAACTAAATTGGTCTAATTAACTTATATATGCACTGCACTGAAGTAAATTAGTTTAATTAATTTTTGTATTATACAAATTGAATTGGCCGAATCATTTAAATTCGTTGAATCACCAAAACTTATTATTTATTTTCTATTTCGATTAATTTGATTAATATAGTTAGTTTAAATTTTAAATGAATCACAACCAATTAAAAAAAAATCAAATTTACCAAATTGAAAATCAATTTTCAATTTTATCGAACCGAATTAATCAAATTCGCGGAACCGTTTACAAACCCCTGCTCTCAATACATCATAAGTAAAGTTCATCAATTTGATACAATTGTCTATTGGTTCAATTTATATAAAAATTGAGCAATAGCATGGCTCACTTGATATAACTATGGGCCTCACGTGGTGCATTGAGAGCGAATGGAGACGCCCTAATGTGCCACCACCACTGGCCCTCAGCAGTCTAAGGGCTGACCTGGACGCACCCACTCCACAAACCCATATATATTTTTTATTATTTTATTTCCACCAAACTCTAATTTATAATTTATAAATTATTAATTTATTATTACAGTCCTAATCCTCTCCCTCACTATTAGCACAATTGAGAATATGTATGAATAGACAAATGCAAGTATTAGCACACAACATTGAATAAAGTTTAACGGTCATCTTCTTCCATTTTATAATCACTTTTTAAATAGTTTTTAACATTTTAATTAAATATTATTTTATTATGATATTTAATAATATAACGTTTGAATTAGTAATATGACATTTTATAAAATATTAATTAATGTAATATTTAGTTTTTAGCATTTTATGAAAAGATATTCATATAATTAAACGCTATTAAAATAGCTAACTTTACTGAACATACCGTTTATTTGCATATAATATTAAAAATCTACGATATATTTTTCACCATTAAAATTTGATATTTAAAATTTAAAGATGTGAATGAGAATGAAAATGGGAATAGTTTAAACAACCGTTGTTGTGCTACGAAATAGATACTGAATTTTCTAATAAGTTAAGCAATAAAGATTATTATTATTGCCTCTGAATTCTTATTACATTGTTTAGCTTTTTATGGAATATATTATATCCCTTATATTATTCTCTCCATATATTTTAATAATTTTATTATTATTATTTAGATTTATTTTACCAATTTCCATTGCATTCCTTATTTTACCTCTTCTTCATGGTTTACTCTATACTAAACATAGCCTAAAAGTACTACTAGTAGAAGGTTTATTCAAATAAATTCAATAGCCCGAATGTAGAGACACGTGTGCTAAAAGAAAAATACTTATATTCAAGAAATTCAGATGTGCTCTTGATGAAAAAAATGAATAATGAAAAGGAGATTACTTTAGATTCTTTGAAATTCAAGGTATATAGTATCTTATGTATAGCCGACATCTTAAGGACAGGTGTTGGTCCGTCAAAATCAAATCTAATATTGTATGAAAAGTTATGGGCTGGGATAGCTAATCGTGTAAATAGTCTCATTCAACCATCTTTAAGACTTTAATTGCATCTTTTCACAAATCCCATCGGCCTCAGAATAAGCAAGCACAGCTAATATGGGATTTGGGTATCAAGATTCGCATTTCTCCAAATATCCACTGCAACAACTTTTCTTAGCTTGTCATTATGGCAAGTTTTTTATACTTTCTTTAATGCAATTAGGGAGATTATTACTGATATTAGATGCCCATAATCTCCAATTTTAGGAACTCATTATTAGATTCTAATTAATAAATACATCTCTGGCTAAACTCAACACGAGATTAGCCAAAATATGAAATCTTAGAATAGTTCTTAAAGTTTCAGGGCATCATTTTTTTTTTTTAGGTTAGAGAATCATTTGTCTTATATTACATTTCATTACTAATTACTAAATACAAACCGAACATTTCACCTAATTTTTATATTTTCAATATCTTATATTTTGAATAAAGACTTTATTCCAAATCAATATGGAAAATGAGTTACTTATACTTCCTTCACCAACATTAGATTGATTTTAATAATATCGTATTAGTTATATGTATTCCAGTTTGCTTCGTACATGCTGATCAAAATTTAATCAATAAGATTGAAAAAAAAATGTCCATCAATTCATTAATTAGCCGATAAAGATTCAATTTGGAGTACACAAATAATTTTAAAATGATATCAAAAGTATATTTTTAGGGTTTTTTTTTTTTTTTTCCCTGAGAAGACAGTTTTAGGGTATCTTAATCCTTGGTTAAATACAATTCAACATTTGTGGTTTTAATTCTATGACTTAAAATATTAATGGCAAGAGGTAATCTATAGTTTATATTTTAATTCTATGAGCTTAAAATATTAATGGCAAGAGGTTAATCTATAGTTTTATACTATATATATATATTTATATATATATATATAGAAGGTCCAT